TGCAGGGAATAAAGAGCATTTGGGTTTGGAAAATCTTCTACATCACAGAATCATGGAATGGGTTGGGATGGAAGGGACCAGTGGCACCCCCTGCCATGGGCAGGGATACCTCCCACAACTCCAGGGCGCTCCCAGCCCTGTCCAGCCTGGCCTTGGACACTTCCAGGGATCCAGGGGCAGCCACAGCTGCTCTGGGCACCCTGTGCCAGGGCCTGCCCACCCTGCCAGGGAACAATTCCTTCCCAATATCCCATCCAGCCCTGCCCTCTGGCAGTGGGAAGCCATTCCCTGTGTCCTGGCACCAGGACTCTGTCCCTGCAGTTTGGTGTCAAAGATCTCACAGGGGTCACTGCACAGGAGCTGCTGTGCCCTGTAAAGCTCAGAACAGGAAAATGAGGGAGCAATGCAGGGCTCTGAGTGACCATGGCAGAGCATCCACCCCAAGATGTGCCTGTGGGTCCAACAGCAGGAGATGAATGTGACCCAAGAGAGAAAATTCACGTGCTGGAAGTGTCTGAGGAGCTGATCAACACCTGAGACCTCCAGCTCTCCCTAAAGGCTCATCTCCAACTGCTGCCAATCCAGGCTTCCCCTCTTCCCAGCCTACATTTCTGAACACCAGGATTAATTTTTCCTCATATTTGAGCTATAATTTGCCTACAAATAAGCCCCTCAAACTGGGAGCTCTGCAGATGCACCAACACAGAGAACAAGGGACTATGAACTCATCACTGTGTAGGATAATGATAAATTTATTAGGATCTAAATATTCACTCTGAGGCTACAGCGAAATAAAGGCTGTTACACACATGAGGGTCTGACACTTCCAGTGCTGCTGAACAGCTCTGCCCTCAGAGCTTGGCATGATTTCAAATATTTCATGTGCTTCAAGTAAGTAATTGAGACTTCAGATGTCATTTTAATATAAATCCCACCCAAAAAGAGGATAATCAAACCCATCACCTGCTGCCACAGCAAGGCCTTAAAAATTATTTTGTGACAGAGCTGTGGGAAATTGGTTTAAACCCCAAATTTTTAAAATAATAAAGTCAAACTTGAGCAGCATTTTACAAAATGCCGAAGTCCAAAGAACAGTGAGCTGAAATCCCAAAATGCAACAATGGGAGCTCTGGCAGCTGCAGTGTGGGGAGATGGACAGTTCCAAGGACTGGGGAACTCCTGGGCCAGTCCTGCACCTGGCAGAGCTGCCTCCAAACCTCGTCCTGGATAATTCCAGACCCCTCTGTTCCAGGCCCTGAACCTGCTCAGCGTCCTGCACGTGGTCATTGCCCTTTGCAGCCTGCCAGCACCTCCAAACCTCTCCCAGGGCAGGCTCCATCCACCCCTGCAGCCTTTCCCAGGTCGTGGAGCAGTTCCCAAACATCTCCTTCCCCCTCCTTCCCCAGTAGAGCTGTTGGTTTCCATCCTGCACCTGCCCCCACCACCCTGAGCTGCACCCAGCCCTGAGAGCTGAGCTCTCCCACCCAGGGTGAGACCCCTCCTGCCCTGACTCCAGCGCCACCTCCCCCCTGCCCTGCGAGGAGCGGCCCTGTTGCTGTCGAACCTGGCAGGAGAGTTCCCAGAGATTCCTGGCGCTGTTTGAGACCCCGCCTCAGGCTGTTCCACAGCACTATCCGCCTACCGCGACAGCAGCGCCAGTGTCCCGAGAGCTGGGACAAAGGAAAGAGGGAAGGAGGCTCCTTAGGAAGAACTGATCACGGGGAAATGAGCTTTGACACCTTCAGCCGCGTCCTCCTCTGCCCCTGGCAGGAGCCCTTCTGCACCTTGGGGAAGCTCAGAACTTCTCTGACCTCTGCCGGGGCAGAGACTCACACTCGGCATTTCTCACATGAAAAACTTCTGTCAGCGCCGTGCCCGGGGCTCACAACGTTTGCAGGACAATGAGCTCCTGGAAAAGCACTCGGGAGAAACTCAAATATGAGAGGAGCTCTAGGAAATCCCATTGTGAGGTGTAACTGAAGCACTTGTTCCTTACACCATCAAACACGATTCCTGCTTCTTTTCCACTCCAGATCCCATAAGCAGCTCTACCCCAACTTTTAATTTGATTTAATGAACACCATCAAATCACAGAGGGATTGTGCTCAAGGTCTTGTGATGACACATCTGGCCCCACATCCCTCACAGCTGCTCAGAGCCCAGAGAATTCAGGGCAAATCCTCAAATACGTAAGAGGAGAAATGAATGATGGAGAGAGCCTGAGGGGACAGGACTGTGCACAGCCAGAATGAGCAGGCAGTGCTTGGAAAATGGGAATAATCCTTGTGCAGGGCAAAGATCAGTTGAGTTTTCCACCTTCTGGGAAAAAAAGAAAAAAGATCTTAAATCTGAGTGAGTTTGGTTTGTTCCCAAAGAGCCACAGCTCTACCATCCAGCATCAAGATAAGGCAGGTGCAAGTGGGAATGGAGCTTCCACTGCCAAACCCCACCGGAGGCAGGGGGAATTCCCTGGAGATCCGGGCTGCTCCTGTATTTGGGTAACATCATCAGACTAAATACGATGGTTGCTCAAGGGGAAAAAGAAAAACATGGTAGGGAAGGAGCTGAGACTCTGGCACCTTTCTCCATCCTGGGAAAACCATGCTGATTGTGCCAACAAAACCTGGCAGGGTGTGTGTGTTCTGTGCTTCCCCCTTCTGGGACTCCTGCACCAGGAAAACCAAGCCTAAGATTCAACTTTTCCTCTAAAGTTTAGGAGTGACACTTTGTTGCTCCTTGGAAAGACACAGCGTGGAACAGAAAGCCAAGGGCAGCAGCTGCAGCCTCCTTTTCCAAGGCCTTGGTGTTCCTGCTGAGCCTCCAAAACGTCCCCTCCGAGGGACAGGGAAGAAAAAAAATTAGAAAGTGTGTTAGCAAATGCTCCCATGCAAAAGTCTAAACTTTATTCACTTTTATTTATATATTTAACAATTCTAAAGTATTTACTTCTCGCTTTTGACAAAAATGAAAAATATAGGAGCACTTTACTCTCTTGTAGAGAGAAGGGTTATTTCTGTACACAGCTACGGAGAGACGGCTTCCTCCTTTACATACAAAGAAAAATAATATTAATAAAAAAAGTGCTTCATCGATCCAAAAAAGCCTAAAGAGCTGCAAGCTTTTATTCACACTGTACATCCCAGCCCCGGCCCGGAGCCGACCCTCTTGGCACGTGTGGAGGCTCCGGCTGATTCTGCACCACAAAGCCACACAAGGTTGGGGTGTCCCCCCACCCCGGCCCTGCCACCTCCCCCTCACCACCCTGGGAAGAGCCGGACGTTCCCTCATCCTGCTCCACACGGAACAGCCACACCTGTGCCTCCCTTCCAGCCCCCACCACCGGATTAGGAATAGATCCTAAACATGCCTTGGCTGGAAACGCCGTCCTTCACTTTGCTTTTTCCTCAGTGTTTCTCTAGACCTGTGCCAGAGATCCCAAGATGCTCCGTCCGTTCCCAGACCCCTTTCCCACACGGACGCAGCCTCCTCCTTCCTGGACGTTCCAGCAGGGATCCTGGCAGGGTGGGAAGGGCACAGTCCAACAACTTCAGCATCTCCCCTCTGACCCACTGAGCTCTGCCAGATGGTTTCTCCATGTGAGCCTCCCTTTGGATGATGTGATTGTGACATTCCAGGGAAGGAGAATGCTCCTTTCCCAAGGTTTCTTACATTTTGAGCTGTTGTATCTAGAACTCTCAAATACTCCAGGATTCTTGGGAATACCATAGAGAATTTGGGATTTTGCCTAGGGAATGCACTGTGAGCAGGATCTACTCTTCCTCCTTGCCAGATTGCACTAAGCAGGATCTATGGGAAGGGAATGGGATGAGCACCTACCAGTTGGTTACAAACGGGTATTTGGGAGTTTTACTCTTCAGTGAGGTGAGTCTGATTGGGACAGAAGGAGGAAGGGGAATCCATAATGCATTTTGGATTGTTTTAAGCTCCTCAGGCAGCTTTTTCCTATCTGGAGTACACTGAACACAGCCTGGGAAAGGAGGAGCATCCCAGGAGGGCACCCAGCACCAGCGCCATCCGCACAGGCTGAGCCCGGCGGCGGGGGCGGGTCCCGGCCACCTTCCATCAGTTTGGATCGTCCAGTAAAGTGCGAGTGACCAGCCAGGACCTGACCATGGCAATGCTCTGCTCCCAGAGGGAATCTCACACGGATTGGGCAAGGACAAGGCAGAGGTCTGCTCCTGTCCAAGGTGGATTGAATCAGAAATTGCATGGTCAGACCCCTGGCAAGGCCCGGTGTGATGCCTGGCTCGGCTCTCACCAACAGCACGAGCATTCATGAGCCAGCATTCCCGGTGTTCCTGCTCCGAGGGCTCAGACCTCACAGACTGTGCGTGCAGGTACAGAGCCACCAGCACAGGAACCTGACTGAGACCCCCTCGGGCAACCCACTGTGAGAACAGAGAGGGAAAAGGTCTCTGGGGAAGGAGATTCCCCACCTCTTCTAGCAGCAACAGGTTCCCAAACAGCAGTTTCAGGTTTGGAATAACAGGAGTGATTGAAAGCACTGGAGGCTGCAGCTATTCAGGCTCTGCGCTCCGGCCGGCCCAGCTCCCTCTGCTCCCTGCTCCCCAAAATCCTCGGCCTGCAGCAGTTCCGCAGTGGGACAGATAAATACCCACAGGGATCCTGGCTCTGCACCAGCTCCCTCCCGCAAACAAACAGAATTATTATTATATATACACGCACGCACGCGCGGGGACACGGACACACGACAGGACAGGCAGGAAAGGGGGAAGAGCTGCACAAGGAGAATCCCACAATCCAGCGGCACATCTCGAGGTCTGCCCCGCCTCCACGCGCAGCCTCCCAGCCCCGGCCCCCCGCGATCCGCGTGTCCGTGGGGAAGGCTCGGCTCGGCTGCTCCCCCGCCGCTCCCAGGCCAGGAATTCAGTTGGACGTGGCAGTGATGGGCTTGTCCAGTTCGAGGTCCAGGCTGGAGCTGCCGGGGTGGAGGCTGCTGTAGCAGGATTTGCAGACTCTGCTGGGCTCAAAGAGCTGCTGGCTGGGAACGGGCACCTTCTGGTTACAGCAACTGGAGCAGAACACGTTGCCACAATTCCTTGCATCAGGAACAAGGAGAAATGGAAAAGATCAGAAGGAGTTTGACAAAATTAGAATGAGATATTGCCAGTGCTGGGACTGGGGAGATACCTCCCTACAGGACAGGGCATGGGCAGAAACAGCTCCAACATCTGTGCTCCTCCCTCCTATGGATGGAGTAGAGATCCTGGGAGTGGGTATGGGAAGGAGCATGGAGCCAGGGCCAGTGTGGATTGCAGGTCATTAAATGCCTCTGTTCAGCCCTCTTGTCACACAGAGAGCTCTCTGCCATTCACCATGGAACGGTTTAGGTGGGAAGAGACCTTAAAGCTCACCCAGTGCCACCTCTGCTACGACCAGGGACCCCTTCCACTGTCCCAGGCTGCTCCAAGCTCCGTTCAGCCTGGCCTCCAGCACGGTGCCAATGCCACGCTGAGGCACAGTGCTGAGGGGCTGAAGCAGAGCCACCATGGACCCTTCTGAGCCAGGCCCTGGGGAATGTGGGGAACATTGGGAATGGGGGCTCTGGCCGTGCTCACACAGCTCATCCAGCCCTGGCTCCCAGGAGGGATGTGGCAGTGCTAGGAGCAGGCTGGACTCTGCTCCCAGGCTCTGCTCAGAGCTGAAAAGGTTTAAACATGGAAATATCAAAGCCCTCAGTTGCTGCCACCCTCCCACTGCCCCCACAGCCACTCCAGCAGTCCCACACTCCTGTATCCAGGAAACTGAGCCAAGGAGGAACATGCAAAGCCCGGGGTGGGCAGGCAGCTGTTCCATGCACAGGTGGGCACGCGCAGCATTCCCGGCACTGGCGGAGCCGCACCGGCACATGCACCTCGTTACAGCTCAGTCATTAATTACCTTCTGCAGCCCCCCTCAAAACCTGTGAGCCCTCTGTGCCCTGTCCTCCATTCCTACAAGGAGCTGGGAGCAGCACTCCAGGGACTTGGGTTTTGCCCTTTCCATTAACTCTTTGGCATCAGGATTTGGTGCTGTTGTTGTTCTGCACTGGAGATTTGCTGCTGCCAAGAGACTCCCGGGGAATTCTGCTGACACCCAGCAGCTCTGATTAATCTTTCCTTGCCAAGAAAGGAGATTTCCAGCTGCTGGTCACTGATGGGGAGAGAGGCAGCAGAGAAATCCCATTTCCCACTTCAGTGGGCTCATTTCCTCAGTCCCACATCCCCCACTCCCGGCACGCAAAGGCTGACAGGGACCAGCCTCTCTGCAAAGGTTCTAGAGACTGGAGGGCCCTGCTGGAAATCCCTGTCAGAAGAACCTGCAGGAGTGGGAATGGCCCTGGGAGGTGCCACACAGCTCCCACAGCCTCATCTCGCTGCTCAAGGAATGATTATCCCAGAGCAGCTCACTGATGGATGAGGGGAAAATCATCAGAGGGATTAAAACAAGGATCTCTTTGTTGGAGCTCACCATTGCTAACATATGCTGGGGTTTTTGTTGTTTTATCCTAGACAATGGTGCTCTGACACTACTTTGGAAAGCTCTGGACAGCTCATCCTTCTATCTCGGTGGTCCCTGCTTTGCTTCAGAGATTAAAAAACAGACATAAAAAACAGGCTGGAAAAGGGATGTTGCTCGTTTGAGGAAGGGGGGCTGAAATTCACACTCCCCATGCCTCCTCCTCATCCCAAATCTCAGATATTCATCCAGTTTTGGTTATCCTGACCCTCCACCAGCTCTGTGGCACCTGTTCCAGCCGTGGGCTTTTCAGTCCTTCTAAAATAAGTGGCAGGCTTTTGCTAACACCCTGCACAGCAATACTGGAATTGTTTGACAACACATGGCCCTCTCCCAAAAACATATGGAAAAAAATGGAAATTATCAAAAATAAAAGCATAAAACTTGCAGGACAGTCTCCTGTCAGTGAGCAGTACACACAAGGACTGACAGTGAGTGTTAGTCTGAGCCACATCCCAGTTAAGCTCCCAAAAGCCAAGTCCTAAAAGCCTTTCTGTGAGGATAGAGGGCTGTTCACATGGATCCAATCCCCAGCAGCTCGTGCTGGCCACCCCCAGCTTAGTTCTGGTGATTTCCAGGCAAGTGAGAAACAAAGGGGGAGAAAAGCTGAGTTAGTTGGGAGAAGTCACCCAGGAAAGGCAGACAGACAACGGGCAGAGGCTGCTGGAAATGCTCACCAGAGCTGATCAACTCGGTCAGTGTCCCTGCAGGGAGGAGAGAGAGCTCAGGGCAACAGGAACAGGGAGCAAACACTGGCAACCAAGGAAGCTGGAAGGTTTTACCCTGCTCAAGGCCTTACACTGTGGGGTTCAATTCATTTCCACTCCCAGGGAGGGGTGTAAACATTTACTACAGAGATACTCGTGGTGTTGGTCTCACCAATAGCTGGGTCACTGCATGTGTGGAAGCTGAAGGAGTGAAGACCCTACAGGGAGATTTGAGCCAGACCTGAAACCCTGAGTCCGTTTTAACTCCTCATGGGGCTGTGGGTGACTTGTGTATATCCAGGCTCTGGGAGTTGTCCCAAGCTCAAGTTTAGGGAACTGAGCCCTGGGGATACAAACACAGTGGGCATGGTAAAAAAAATAAATTCAGATTATTTTCCTTCTTCCCTGGGTTTGGTTAACTTTACAAGACTAAATGGATCAAAATAAAAACCAGACAAAACCCAAAACTATGTTCATAACTCCTTGCTACTTCAAAAAGCAGTGGAGCTTCAAAATGTGGTAACTGAGATTTATTTAAATGATGGCTTCTGTAATAGTTTTTGCATGTTCAGAAACCAGGAATAGGAATTTATTTGAAACAGAACTGGAAACTGGAGATTCTCTGGCTTTAACTCCAGCATACTGAGCCATGTGGTCTCTGCCTCCTGCTCTTCATCAAGCCCCTGCTGCTGCCTGAGCTGCTGCAAACTCTGTGGCAACAAGTCTAGCAAAGAATAATCCAAAAAACCTTGATCTCACACAGGTGTTCTGTTCAGATTCTGTAGAAGCAAGTTAATGAAAAGGGGAGAAAGGTTAGAGAAGGAAAGGAGCAGTTTTCCAACCAGCAATGGGAAGAAGATGCTATTCCTGTATTTTATGTAACTCATATATTGAATTTCTGAATCCTAAGAGGACAAAGTTCTGTTTTGTATAAATCTAAACTGCCTCCAAATCCAGTTTGAGGAAAGAAAGGTGGGATCTGTTTTGGCTGGAGTGGAGCAGACACCAAATGTGGCTTTTAAATATCTCCCTGCACGGGCTGAACTGAGCAGCAGGAGCTGTTCTGATCCCTGGGCAGCACATGCCTGCTCCAGCCCCCAGCCCTGAGGCAGGAGCTGTGTGTGTGCTGTGCAGGGAGGGGAGCAGAGCCCAGTCCCAGTCCCAGTCCCAGTCCCAGTCCCAGTCCCAGTCCCAGTCCCAGTCCCAGTCCCAGTCCCAGTCCCAGTCCCAGTTACCTGCAGTGGTGTTTCCGACTGGCGAGCCAGAAGGCGCTGTCGCAGCCGTAGCAGTGAGCGGCCAGGTGATCCGGGAGCCACCGCGTCACCTGTGGGCAGGGACGGGGCATCAGGGACAGGGAAGTGGCAACAATCCTGAGCTCAGCCCCCTCCCCAGCTCCCAGAGGTTGTGCAGCAGAGGGCTCATAGGCACAGGTACTGGTATGTCAGGTGTGAGACCAGCAGAACGCAAGGAAAAGAGTTCCCAAGAAGTGGCATGTGAGCAAAGGCTAGAGGATAATTTGAATTAGGATTATCCCAGAGTGAGCAATTTACAGGGATTTAGTCTGTACCTCTGTATCCTGTTTATCCACCTGTTCCCAGCTGGCTTCAGAGAAAATCTCTGTGCTGCAGCGAGACAAGCAGTTCTGATCCAGATTGCTTTCCGAGTCGGGAATAGACGTCTGTTGGCAAACAAACAGAGCTGAACGGAACCCCCCAGATCCCTGTTCCACACAAATAAAACCCAGAAACCCCAACAGGGCACGTCTGGACTCTCTAGAAATGGGAAGATGTGAGGCAGAGTGGATTTAGAATCCAGTTTCTGCTGCAAAGTTCTGGGAAGGCTTTGAGTGATTAACCAAAACCTGCTCCCTGTGGCTCCAATTCCAGGGTCCTGATTCCTTTCCAAGGGTATTTCACTTTCAAAACTATAATTAGTAATACAGATATCCTTTTGTTGGCAAAGATTCTGGAAAATACAAGCCAAATTGCATATGGGAAACTAAGAATTTGAGCCATGTATATTCTATGTATAGGTTTTGGGAATAATGCTTTCTTAATATAGCCTATCCAGGTAGAGGTTGATTTTAACTCTCTTAAAACTCAGCCAGCCCTTAAAATATATCAAAATAGCAAGAAATCTTGAGTTAAAGTATTTTTATGCCTGAGGAATGGGCAATCCTGGAGTTCTAGAGGAAAACCTGCAACTCCCAAGCTGAGGCACAAATGGAAGGTAGAGATCAGGTTCTTAAAAATGGGGAATTTTCTGGAGGCACTGACAGCCCTACACTGCAGCTTCTGAAGGCCCTTAAAAATGGGAGCAGAATCCATTAAGCCAAAGCACCCAATTTCTCCAAGGAATTCAAGCTTTTAGCAGTGACATGGAGCCCAATGAGCACCTTGTGCTGCATCTCCAATGGGAAGAGCCAAGAAGGCTCCAAGGATTTTTCACAACAACGTACCTGGGACTATCCAGCACCTCTGCCACTTCTAAACAGTGATTTCAACAAACAGAACCTGGGAACCTCCTACAAATATTTTTTTTTCAGTTTTTCAGGCATATAAATGATGCAGAAAAAGCAAATCTCTGATGAATGTTGCAACAGCCTCAGTAATTACAGGCAAGTGCTCAAACCCACAGGAAAGCACAATTCTCTACAACTTTAAACCCTTCCAGATAAAAGCACAAATGGTTTTAAAGTTCCCGTAAAATTCTTAATTTATTGAGAAAAACCCTTGTTGAAATACAGCTGCCACAAAAGCTCAGGCAATTTATTTCAGTTAATTTAGAATTCTAGAAATTTATTCCAGTCATTGAACTTGGAGCATCTGAAAGGGATGGTGTGACCCTGATGGGTTTGAGCTCACAGAGCTGCCAGTGCAGCTGGAACCTGCAGAGAACCAAGGGATCATCCTATGCTGCTGTCCCAAAAATGGCACAGGAAAAAATCTTTGCAGTACACCAGGGGTTTGGTTGGTTTTACTAAGGTTTGCTAAACCAAGGGCTTGGTTGGTTTTACTTAAGTTTGGTAAACCAGGGGTTTGGTTGGTTTTACTGAGGTTTAGTAAACCAGGGGTTTGGTTGGTTTTACTGAGGTTTAGTAAACCAGGGGTTTGGTTGGTTTTACTGAGGTTTGGTAAACCAGGGGTTTGGTTGGTTTTACCGAGGCCAGGGAAGGTGTTTAGGCATGGCCAGGGTTCTGTGAGCTGCTGTGCAACACCCATCTCGAAATAAACCTTTCTGCTCAATCTGAAGTTCAGTGACAGCACCAGTCATCAGGACCTGCCACTATCAAGTATTCAGGCAGTGTCTGCCCTCCCCAGGATGATGTGGAGAGGTCTGTAAGAGCCCAGAAGCCAGGCCCTGAGCTGTGAGGCAGGAGCTGAGGGCTGGGTGAGCTCCGTGCCCGGCCCAGTGACGCTCACTCACCACTTCGTCGCCGTAGTCGCCGTTGAGGCGCAGGGAGCTGTTGAGGAGCTGGCTCTCCAGGCGGCTCTTCAGCTCCTGCACCTGCTTCTTCAGGGTCTCCACCTCCTGCTGATGGCCCGTCTCGATCTGGCGCAGGCGCTGCTGGATGACGTCGCTGTAGACGGGCATCCCATCGTCGTCCAGGTGGCTGCGGGCTGGCTGGTCCGGGCTGCTGGCCGGCTGCTTGCCGAGCTGGCTCAACACCCATTTCTGGTGCAAGTTCCTCAGGTGGAGCTGAGCAGAGCTGCAGCTGGCCGTGGACACCTGGCGGCTCAGCGAGGCCTTGATGTGCCCATCCTCGCCATTGACGCAGTGTCCGTTGGTGGTGGGGAATTTTGGGGCCGTGAGTCCCGAGGGTTTCTCCATCAGTTTGTTCTCCAGCTCCAGCTCCCCATTATACACCAGCTCATCTTTGCGGTCTGCTAGAGGCAAGGCACAAGGGGAAGGCATCGGGAGGTGTGTGGTGCTGCTACCAGAAGTCCTGTGTGCTCTTGATCCCAGTTTTTGGAGCTCTATCATGCACTCCCCCTCCGGCCTGTTCTCCAGAGTTCGGGACAGCTGGTCAGCGCTGTTGTCGAAGGGGTGAGGTCTGTGGCACGAAGCCCTGGGCGTGAGCTCGGGCTTTGCTTCGGTCTCTGTTAAAGTTTCCGTGGAGCTTTCGATGTTGGATGTCCTTTCCTCCATCAGGGCTGTCAAAGGGAAGGCAAGGCTGGCCTGGGCTGTGCCGTACGGGCTCTCTACTTCTCCTTCACCCTTCCCAACAGCTTCCTCCTCCGTGTTGTTTGGAGCATCTCTGTTTCCAGAGCCCTCAGAAGGAGCAGCCTGCAGTCCTCTCCCCTGAGGTGCCTTCTGGAGAGCGCTGCTGGGCTCGCTGGGCTCGTCCTGCTGCCCTCTGAGCTCCGCAGCACTGCGTGAGGCCGGGTGTGGGTTGGCTGTGGGATTGTTCGTTACGGTACCTGTATCCACCTCGGCCTTTTCCCCACACAGATTGTCGGCTCTCTTCTCCTTATCCAGGCCAACCTCACCCCCTTTCCCTGCTGCCTCCAGGCCACCCCTCAAGTGCTCCTCCAGCCCAACATCATCTTTAGTGGCCTCCTGCAGAATGTTCTCCATTTGTCCCTCTGCCACCCCGGCTGCCACAGAGAGCTCTGCCCCCATGGGGGCCCTGGCCTGCCTGCCCAGCCCGTCCCCCTCGAAGGGGTCGTCCCCAGGGGGGCCGAGGCTGCTGAGCTCCAGGGAGCGCCGGTGCTCCTGCCACTTCTCGTTGAGGCTGGGGTCGCTGCTGCGGCGGTTGGTTGTAGGCACGCTGCTGTCACAGGCTGTCGTCAGATTGTCAAAGGACCTTGTCTTTGGTAGCCTGCAAAGGGACAAACAATCCCACTCCCCAGTCAGAGGATGTTTTTACAACATTGAGCTACTGAGGTTTAAAGCCAGCCCCCCAGTTAGGACAGTAACAATCTGCCAGCTAATGGACTTGTGGGAAGTATTACCCATGAGCACATTCCAACCATCTGTACTGCAGAGCTGCTTCAGTACTTCCTTTGTTTGCCATCAGGAAAATATGTTCAACCAGACTTCAAACATTCCCAGATTAATCCCTTTACAAGCAAGCCCCAATGCTTACAGCCTGGTCACACCTCCTAATTAACATGTGCTCAGAGTCACTGTACAACAAGCAAAGAAATGGTTATGCAACACTGAAGAACTCAAATTCAAGATAACCAGTGAAAGCTTATATCCCACAAGGATAGAAGGAATTCTCTGTGGCTGTGTGACACCCAGAGATTAACTCCATTTGCCCAGCTTCTCTCTGCCACGCTGTCAGCCCTGAAATGTGACGGCTTCCAAACCCACCCCAGTCCTGCCAATGCACCTGGGAGAAACCTTGCTCTCCCACCCAAACATTCTCCTTTCATATCCCCCAATATTCCCTGTTGATCTTACTTCACAGGACGGGATTTCTGGGCTCTAGGCTCACCTGCCCAGAGGCTGCTCTTCGGGGCTAGAGCCTGGCACAGGGTATGGGGCACAGGTGTCGTCGGCAGGCGTGGAGGGGGAGGAGCAGGGCAGGTAAACAGCGCTCCAGAGCATCAGGTTCCGCACATGGCACACGGGGTACAGCACCTGGCAGGGACAGCACATGGCAAGGGTCAGCTGCTGCCTCCCAGCAGGAGAAGTTCAGCTCTGAGGGGTCAGTTCACTGGGCAAGTCTCAGCTGGGACATGTACAGCCCACGCCAAGGGATGGTGACAGGTTTTCATCAGGCACACTTGGGGTTAGAATGACCTTTTCTGTCAGAGGCAGAACAATGCCAGCCTTCAGCTCCTCCTCAGTGAAGTCCTGCAATGAGCTCTCTGTGAATCTACACCTTCACAACTGATGGAATTCAGTGGCTCGTTGGGAGTGCTGAGGTTCCCTTGTGTTGTGTTAACACCGTGCCAGAGGATCTGAACTCATTCCATGGGCCCCAATCCACCACAGCCCAGCCTGGCTCCCGAGGACACACTCATGGGTACATACTCAGTACATGCAGAAGTTCTTTGAAGAGACAGCTTGCTCTTTAAAGGGATTGATTATGGAATATGCTTTCTGCTTTAAAAACACCTGGGCTCATTTTAGCAATTCCACTCTTTTCCAAGCAACTTTCCCATGGAAAAGCAGGAAATGGCAGAGGAATAGCTGGCTCCACCAGACAGACACTGCCCAGGCTCTCCAGGGAATGGGCACAGTCCCAAGGCTACCAGAGCTCCAGGAACATTTGAACAATGATCTCAGGGGCAGAGTTGGATTTTGGGATGCTCTGTGAAGGGCCAGGGGTTGGACTGGATGATCCTGGTGGGTCCCTTCCTAAATGAGGATATTCTGTGATTCTCTGAATGCTCTGCTTCCCTGGCACTGAGCAGGTGAAGGGCTCAGGGTTGGCTGCTGCTCTTAAACAACTCTGGCTCTATAAGAGGTGCAGCTGCACCATAGGCATATTTTAAAGCCTGAAGTAAAACCACAAGAAAATGAACCCAAAACAGGAAATTACCCAAACTCCCACATGCAGAAGTGTCCTTGTATTTCCTGAGAACAGGGGCCAAGTAGGATAGAGCATAGAAGGACAGCCCAAGTACAGACCTGTCCACACAGTCACTGTGAGAGCCCTCCCTATGCTCCTCCTGACATTTTCATGGAAATCCAGAGGCATCCACAGCTTTAAGATCCCCCCAGGCTGTGTCTGCTCTGCCTCACGAACTCTCCCCAGGAGAATCAGCTGGGAAGGCTCCAAGGGCTCGTTGCAGTGACAGCCCAGAGCCAGGGCACATTCAGCCAACAAGGGCTCAGGGGAGTAGAAAATTCATCTTTTTACAACCACTGTGGGCATAAAACTCCTTCCTGCTTAGCCAGGGTTTAAGTTTTGCTCTAAGAAACAACTGAAAGCCACATCCGTCACATACAAACCCACTGCACAGTCCTTACAGCTCAGTTTATGACATCTGATACTTCGATAAATAAAAGAGTTTAAATATTTATACAAGTCCTTGCAGTCCTAACCATGATGTCATCTGGTGTTTGCTGTCTTGCCCATGCTCTGTACCCCCGAATCTCTCACATGACCTTGTACCAAGCACATAACTGAGCCTCTTCCCAGAACCTTCAGTGAGCTCCTACGATGGAGGAGCCACACTGAAAACCTGAAGGTATTAAGAGAAACAAAGATACACTAAATAATCTGAGCCACTTTTTCTGTTTAGATTTAAAATGGATTTAGACACAGTGTCTAGGTTTGCAGGCAATTTTGTGTCACTCCTCTGACACAGCTCAGTTCTCCAGAGAGGTCTATTTATCAAACACTGAAATGTTTTCTGTTAGAAAAAATAAAATATTTAGTCATAGAAAGAACATTTCCAGCACAGAGAAATTTCTGAGGTGGCATTTGACATTCCCCAAATATCAGCAAAATTAACCCAAGACTTCAAACATCAGCCTGAGCTGGATGTTCCAAGGTGAACGTCAGGGAAAGCTGAGCTGCTCTGGAATCACCTCTGTCCATGGTGCAAGTTCAGAGAACCACACAAGGCTTTGGGTTGGAAGGGACCTTACAGCTCATGCAGTGCCACCCCTGCCGTGGGCAGGGACACCTTCCACTACCCCAGGGTGCTCCCAGCCCCATCCAACCTTGGACACCTCCAGGGATGGAAGAACCACCATCTCAGCCCCAGGTCACCCCAGGTCACCGTGTCCCACCGCTGGGATGTTTCTCGGGGCACCCCCATTTGTGGGATGCTGTTTGGGGGAGCCCCCCAGGACCCTCCCACAGGAGGGGATTGGGGTACATACAGATTCTGACTGGGAGGAGTAGAGCAGGTTTTTGAAGGCTTTGTTTGCTGCCCGCAGCAAAGACCAGACGGAGCAGGTCCGTTCCTGAGTGTGTTTCTCTCCTCTCTCTTTCGCATTGTTGCACAGGAATGTTCCAAAGAGGCAGGAGTAGGTGTGCTGCACCAACTTCACCTGCACAGAGCCACACACACACACAGGGTCAGCTGGCACAAGGGATGGGCCTCACCTCCCTTCCTGCACCAAACCCCTCCCCAGGGCCCCACACCAACCCACGGCATTTCTCACATATTTCCTACGAACCAATTGCAAAGGAATGCAAGGGGAGCGGAATCTTTTGAAATCATAACTGAACAAATTCGGGAAAAAATGGAACATAGAAAGACGAAGTATTTGTTCCTAATCAAGTCATGTTGATACAGACTCATTGCCCTGCAGGCCAGGCAAAGCAGAATCATGATTCCTCTGCTACAAAACATTCGTGCAGAACAGAAATGCTGATCATTAATCACTCCATGCTGGGCCCAGCCTAACGAATACCAGCTTAACTTCAGGCATATCAATGACTTCCTTGGGATTATTCAGACGTTTAAATGAAGACAAGTGGTTCAATACTGTAATAAATTAGGGGTTCACTCTACAAAGGCCAGCACAGCACGGTTATGTTCTCTCCCAGCCTGTGGAGATTAGCAGTGTGCTGTGAAGCCAGTTACTACCTGTTCTATCTCATTTCACAACTGAGCTACTCGGGGACTGTACATGGGCTCAGTTACATGGCTGAGCTGGCAAGTGCTAATTCCAGTCAGACACAATCTCAGGAACGTGCCTTAAATCTCTCAGTGGATCAGACACTTCATAAAAACTTCTGCTCTTCAGACTACTGGTCCTGCAGTCCATGACTGCCACTTCCCCAGAGATCTAAGAACTGACTAGGAGCATCCTGGGTGAATTCCTAATAGGAATGCTGGCTGCTTCCAAAGAAGGTAAGCACAGCTCCTATATCCTACACATTTTCAGTGAAGAAACTAAAAAAAAAAAAGATTTGAGCAGGTTGTTTTTAGAGGAGTAGTATTCAAGTCAAAACAAGATCCAAGCAGGGGGGAGTTTGCATTGGCAGGAAGCAGAATTTTTTTCAGGCTGTGTGGATGCTTTACACCTCTTAGGTGAGACTATTCAATTAATAAAATTAATTTTTTTAAAGACTAGAAGAAATCCTTGAGGCTCCTGCTTTTAAGAGTGAACAGACCCTGTGGGTTACACAAGTGCTTTTGTCCCCCATATCTGGGCAGCTTTCCTGTTCCCTTTATCAGGTGAGAGCATATATAGAATATATTCATTATATATATAAAATAATGGAATGGTTTGAGTGGGAAGGGACCTTAAAGCCCATCCAGTTCCACCCTCTGCCTTGGGCAGGGTCACCTTCTACTATCCCAGGTTGTTCCAACCCCCATCCAACCTGGCCTTGGACACAGAATGTCACAGAAAGGTGGGAAAATCCCCCCCCGCCCCCAGGCTCTGTTTAGCAGCAGTTCATTAAAACAGCAGTGTCCCAACTCACAAGGAATGCTTCGTTAAACTCGAAGGAGCAGGGGAACTGCCTCTGGAGCTGATGGACACAGTCCAGCCACTGCAGAAACACCGGGCAGCGCTCGTTGAGGTCGTCCGAATTCTCCCCGTGGCCACAGCGATCTGCAAACTTGTGGCCAAAATCCAGCCACTCTGTCTCCACTAGCACCTGGAAACCCTGAAGGGAGGAGAGGAAAGATGAAGAATTCCTATTTTTCTTTGGTTCAGTTTTCTGAGATGTCTGAGACTTGTGGGAATCGCTGTGTCCTCTCTCCTATTTCCCCTCAGCACTGGGCACATTACTTCTCTTTACTGCTTTCCTTAATGCCTCTGTGCTCTGAAATGGAATTAGGACAGATAAGGATTCCCAAATTACATGAACAGGAAAGGGAATAAGGCAGGTTAAGTCTTCAGTGACTGGCAGGGAGGATCCTGGTATTAGCCCCATCTCATTCAGGCAGTGAAAAGTAGGACCTTCAAAGTTTCTGGATCATGATATCCAGTATAGTGACTAGTTACATAAAAACTTCTCTTGAAAATGATGGTCAGATCCACTTGTCAGGAAAGAAAACCATCCATCCACAACAGGACATCCAAGCTCAGGGAGAGCAGGTGCTTGTCTGTGCCTACAGCAGTCACAAGGTTGATTAAAGAGGTTCACCTGAGTGATTTTTCATGAAAAGGGCAAAGAACATTCCCAAACAGTGCCTGGGTGAGCTGCTGAATGTCACACCTTGTCTCCCAGGACCTGAAATCCATCACAGGGAAGGAAGGTTTTGGTTCTTAGTGGAAAGAAAAATTGTAGGGAATGTTTATTGAGTCAAAGGCTGTGATTAGAGCCAAAATAATGGCTGTGATTAGAGCCAAAATAATGGCTGGCACCTGAAAAGCTTTAAATCTGACAGCACTGAAAACTCATTTTCCTCAATGTTTCTGATCCTGGTACAGACAGCTACAGTTTCTGGTTTGCTCTGGGTGACAGGGAAGGCCCAGAGTGTGCACAGCACAGCTCTGCTCCCCAAGCAGGAAGGACAGTACCCTTTGCAGGACCAGGAGCAGATCCTGTGCCCAGAGCAGCATGTTTTGCCTGATGGATGCCAGCTTCTAGAACCCATGTGGAAAAGGATCCAGGAAGTTTTCACACTTTCATCCAAAAGGCAGTCCCAGCTCCTGGTCCTAGTGTGTGTAAGGCTTTAGGCAGCAGCTCACAGCAGTGTTCAGAAACAGAGTTCTGTTCTGGACAACAAAGGCATCTTGCCTGTGGGATGGCAGATGGAAGCCAGCCAGGACATATCCCACAGTGCTGAAAAGTGATGGAACAGGGGAAAATCAGGAGAAATAATTGAGAGGGCAATGAAAATGTGAAACTGGAAAACCATGCAGTTGGGAAATGCAGCAAAGAGGAAGGTTCTCTGTCAGTGCTTGGCTGAGAACCTGCAGGGGTGCAGCAGAAGCTGCAATTGCAGCATTTTGTACTCCATATTCCTAAACGAAATATGGGGAAGCACAGACCATGACTGTGCAGTTACAGCAGAAGGAATGTGAGCTACTCCTGAGTTAGAGGTGTACCTACACCTGGGAGTAACTGCAGACTATGGGTGACAAACTCCTGCCAGCTACAGTGCCTTTGCCAGGGGCGAAACCTGAAATAATTCACAGCCAGCCTCCCCCCAAAGACCCCAGGTGCTCCCAGCTGCTTTACCCACCTCTGTGGTCCTGTAGTAGGGGTCCAGCAGGAGTTTGGCCAGGGCCACGATCTGGGGCGTGCGGTCCCAGCCGTCGGAGCAGTGAACCAGCACCGGCCGCTGGTCGCGGTCCACGGCGTGCACCACGAGCAGCGCGGATTTCAGGAGCACTGACAGGTGCTGCAGCCACTTGGTGCTCTCCAGAGCTGACAGCCAACTAGAGGGAAACCAGGCAAGACAGTTTTTGCTCTTTTAAAATGCTTTCAGGTTTAGATGTCAGAGTTTGTCACGGCAAAGCTCCTGTTTTAATAAGCTGTGAGCGTCACTCTGGAGCATTTGTCACTTGTGTCTTGTTAACACTTTCCCCCAGCCAACCCAAGGAACTGCCACACTCTGGGATGAGCTGAAGCTCTGGATCTACTTTGAAACCATAGAAGGCTTTAGCACAAATTCCAAACAGGGGAGTGGGAAGGAAAACAGGACTGGGGTAACTACAGTGAGGACTCAAGCTCAGAAGCTCCCAAGGTGAGGGGCCATTACAGAGTAGTTACTCCACAGCACTGGAGGGTTATAAGATATTCTCCTGAAATGACATTATAAATGAGTGAAGTACAGGGAACACCACCACAATTTTCCAAAGGACAGTCAATGGTGAAGATTAAAGAGCTGGGAATAGCAGATCAACCTAAGTATGAGTGCTCAGAAGCCCACTAGAAGAAACAACATTCTGGTATCAGTATTCAAGGTTACACTCTAATTTCAGAACTAATTTTCTATGTTCACTTCAATCAGAATAAACCAGTGACTTCCATGAAAATGGAAAAACATAGTTTAGCACTATTACCAAGGGAAAATCCACTGAATTTCAATTTAAAAGCCATCAGCAGAAGAATGTGGGTGCAGAAACATGGAAGCAAAGGCCCAAAGCCCCAAACCTCCACTTACTTTCCTGGATCTGGCATTTGTGTGCAGAGCAGGCGCAGTGACTGGAAGCTCTTGCGGATGGAATGGATGTTTGCCATCCCCATGAACACCACTTCACAGTTGGGGTAATACTCTGCAGGGAAAGAGCAAGACAGAGGGAAGAAAGTAACAACTACCTTTGTAAAAGAAGATTTTTTTTTTTTTCATTTAAAAAAACCCCTCTGTTGATGTGGACAGATGAAATAATCTGTTTACAAAGATTCTGTGAGTCCTTGGAGCTCGCTGGGTATTCCAGACATGACAGCCCAGCAAAACAGGAAGCATTTAGCAAAGTTCTGCTGTATTTATTTCAAATGTTTCACTTCAGGTTACAAAAAGCAGAGTGCAAGCCTCTGGGAATAGGGATATTTCTGTGCTCCAGGTTCCAGAATGTTTGTAAAAAGACTGAGAAACATCAAAAGATATGAAACACAAGTAATATTTAATTGGTAATTTATGGATTTAAGTCAGACAGATTTCAAATTCCTTTTCCTAAACTCTCAAAAAGGCTGAAAGGTTACTTCATCCACTGCTTTCTTCTGAGGGGAATTGTATGTGGAAGTATCACACATGTGAGAAACACTGGGAGTTCAGGAAAACAGAAGATACATGGAATTACTCTGGATATGCTCAAGCAACACTGGAGGCCTGGACAGACAGGGCCAGTGCTCAGGGGGCACCTACAGAGAGCCAGAAAATACCAGTTCAGTAGTTTGCCCTAGATTCAGCCTTCCCTCTGCTGTGATGCTTCAGTCTGCACAAGAATGATCACACAGTAACTAAAATGACCATTTCTACAGGAGAAAAATAATCAGAATTCAGAATCTGGGATACTAAGTGCTTGCACAAAAAAAATTCAGGAGTCTATCTTGTTTTGTATAATTTGATTTCCCAACTCTATCAGCCCAACAAATGCTGGGCCAAACTCGATGAGGGACTGCAACTCCAGGAGCAGCCTCAAACAGTATCAGACAACTTCAGAGTTTTTTTGTATTTTTACTAAAATAAAACACAACATACATGAGCTATTTTTACACAGAGAATGAAGAAGATCTGGCAGTGACTGCAGAAAATTTAGCAGCAAAAAGCAATACAGGTTTTACTGAGGTGGTAAGCTGTTTCAAAACCTTCTGCATAGAATTAAAAACACAATATACAGGAAGAAAATCAAACTTCCTGTATACTCTGCTGTTCTCTTTTGAAATTTTACCCTCTGATGAAGAATTATTTAGTGGTTTTGAGGTGTTAAACAGAAACTTCATTTTTTTAACTGGTGGCTACAAATCAAAATGCAGCTATTGCAGCACAGACTAAAATAAAAATAAATGGTCAAAAGAGTTTTCATTATCTTATCTTCAGTTTTTCTGCCCGGGATTTTTTTCCAGCCTCTCCACCCATGGAATTTTAACAGGCTGCATTCATTCCCAACAGTGCCCATAAATAATATCTTGTTTATAAAACCACCAATTCACAAGTGCCAAAGAATACAGAAAGTGGTGTTGCAACTGTGTTACACATGCAAGGTGAGGCAGGATTGCAATTGCTATGATATAAATACTAAAAAATGCTTCAGCTTTAGGGAAATGCTGAGAAGTTGTATTTTGCACAACCATTCTAGAATATTTTTCTCCTCTGCAGCCAATGGGTTTTACAAGTTCAGGGGTTTTAGACACGAGCACACTGGACACCTCTGTCTCTCTCTAGTTTATACATCTGACTCAGCAAGGGAAAGCTCTTCAGCAGATTCCACAGGGTTCAGCATTTACTGAGCACTGCTGCCAGCTGGGTTAATGGCCTGAGAACACACTAATTAACAGCTCAACTGCCCTTTGAAGGGCTGGGTGGGGGCTGCCATGATCCAGAACGTTCAGACAGATGAGCAGTGTCCAGGCAGTGCTGAAGGGTGTCAGGGTAATCACAGTGGAGCAATTCCTGCCGAGTGACTGCCCGGAAAGCTGAGGAGGGACGTTCTCACCTGGGCACTCACAGCCACCCCCCTTGGCTCTGTTGGCCACGGCTGCTGCGTAGGATCGAGCGTCCAGGATCAAAAGCTTCTGAGGCTGGATTGCCAAACTGTCTGCTCCTGAGGCATTGGAGATGGAGGAGTCTGGAGAGGAGGAAATGGGTGAGGAGCTCAGAGGATCCTTCTGACATTGGGTACAGCACGGTTCCCTCAGTCTCACAGTGCACACGCACTGGAGAATGGGGACTAAACACAACAGAGTGACTCCGTTCCAGCAGCAGAGATTAAACTTTTACATAAAGCCCTGCCCTCGACAGAAAACAGCAGTGACAGCCTTACCAAATTCCACATCAGAGAGGTCCCCTCCGTTGGCCAGATCTCTGGAACAATTCCCATTCATTAACTTGGTACTGTTGGACCTGGAGTCTGAGGCACAGGCTTTGGCTACGGACTGCACCAGGTGCTCATCGTCGGCGTTCCTCCAGCCCCACCAGCTCACCTCGGGCTGGCCACAGCGAGAGATCACAGCCCCATTGCTCTGGTGCCTGAAAACAGAGGCAACACAGACTCAACAATCAGGATGAAGAGCACAGAGGGCACAAAAATTTCCGTGGAGTGCTCCAGTAGCTTCATTCCCACCGGGGACCATCATTCAGTTATCCCCAGCCTGGGACTCAGCTTCCCTACAGACTGATGGCTGTGACCACAGTCACTGACAGGTGAAAGTCAAAGCAAGATCAGGAAGAGAAAACAAAGCATCTTCTTGCTCACTATTATGCCCTGTTGGCCAGTTAAAGACAGGGAGTGTTTTGGAACAGGAGGTAAGGCATGAAAGAGGAATTCAACATGGATGGAGGATAACTGAGAACACCCTAACCTGGACAAAGCTCTCGTCTCCTGGGAGGTGACATTCAAAAAAATTTTTTTTTGTTTCACATGTCTGAAGAGTTATTAGTTATTTCCTTAAATCTGACCCAGCTTCTTGTACTACACATAAAGAACAGATCTGGAATAATTAAAACTTACTGGACCATTGCAAACACGCTCTGAAAAAGATTTGAAGACTCTATCCCATAATCTATTATAAGAAGAGGACTGAAATGTATTCTCACAGTAATTCCACTCACTGCCTTTATGTTGCCACATTCTTCTGCTGCCACCAGCTCTATGACTCCCCACAGAACTGTTTGCAGTTGGCAGGAACAACCTTCTCCCTGACCTTGCCCTGCAGCACCCTGAATTCAGGGAGCTCAGCCCTGGAGAAAGGAGGCCCAGCTGTGGGTGCAGAGAGCTGGGGGTGGAGGGGCCAGAGCAGCACAGACACAGCTTCTGGGGCACCTCAAAATGTTTAATTCCTGCCTCATGTCCCAGCTGAAATATCCCAGCACTCATCCACATGACTTTTTTCTGTTTAAGACATGGCGGGGACACCTCCCACTGTCCCAGGCTGCTCCAAGCCCCAATGTCCAACCTGGCCTTGGACACTGCCAGGGATCCAGGGGCAGCCACAGCTGCTCTGGGCACCCTGTGCCAGGACCTCCCCACCCTGCCAGGGAACAATTCCTTCCCAATATCCCATCCAGCCCTGCTCTCTGGCAGTGGAAGCCATTCCCTGTGTCCTGTCCCTCCATCCCTTGTCCCCAGTCCCTCTCCAGCTCTCCTGGAGCCCCTTTAGGCCCTGGAAGGGGCTCTGAGCTCTCCCTGGATCCTTCTCCTCTCCAAGTGAGCATCTCCAGCTCGGCTCCAGTGCAGAGGTGATCCAGCCCTTGGAGCAGCTCTGTGGTCTCCTCTGGACTCTCTCCAGCAGCTCCAGGTCCTTCCTGTGCTGGGACCTCAGGGCTGGAGGCAGCTCTGTAGGTGGGGTCTCCCCTGAGCAGGGCAGAATTCCCCCCTCCCCTGCTGCCCATGCTGTTGGATCAGCCCAGGGCACAGGTGCATTTCTGGGAATAACAACTTTTCAAGCAGAGCAATGCTTTCCTCACCCCCCTGAACCCTGACTTCCAAAGTGTGCACCTGTCAATTACAATTCCTGTATGTTATGATGCAGGAAAAGATTTTAGAGCCTTCCTGCAAACAAACTGCCCACCTCAGCTTCAGGGCAAGCAGGAGCTGTTCACTCCCCTCTAACCAGGGAGCCCAGAGTGCAGAGGGTCAGCTTAACCTTTAAACAAATCTGAACAAATCTGAATTCCTGAGCCCTGACCAGGAAGACAGCCCACCCAAAGCAGGCAGTGTTGACTTTTTGGCTCAGAGCACAGTGATGGATGTTTCTGGAGGTGTGACAGGCGGGTTTGTGCTGTGCTGTCAGAGCTGTCACCCCCGGGTGCTGTGTGGCACCTCCTCCGCTGTGTCTCCGCGGGCACCGCGTGGGCGCCGCCGCCTCCTGCTCCTCATCCAACAGCAACACAAGGGACAGGCTCCGTGGTGCAGAGCCTCCCAGTGATCAAACAGCCTGGGATACGGGGCTGAAGTGTTTTTCATAGCTCTTTTATAATTGTTTCATATAAAACCCCTTCAGTGAGAGGAAGCACTGACACGCTGCGTTAAGCGAGGCAAAGGAAAAGCGATGTGAAGCCACGGCTCTTACACCAGGTGCCAGCCGACTGCAGGCACAGGGAAATGGATTTCTGCTGGAATTAATAGCCTTCCACAAACAGCTCTACCCATAGCAAATTAGTTCAGGAAAAAATACGTGCCAATCACTGAAAGGCCACCTAGTTCCCCGCTACGCTTGCACAAATAAAAGAAAATAAAACATCATTATACGTCTAAGAAATCTATTTTGAACAGAGCAGCTCATTTATTTTTCCATATGTTCTCCAGATTTCATTACTACCTGCTGCAGAATAATTTTCATAGGTTCATAAAGAGTTATATTTTCATCTCCAGGTCCTTGCCTCACATTATACAAATAATGAAGAATCATTAGGCCAGGAGATGAGCTTGTTGGTGGCTGTGCAGCCCCACCAGTGCCCTGCACAAATCTGCCACCAGAGGTACCAGAAATCAGCACACAATTCTAGTTAGGGGGCACGCTGGAGGGCTGAGGAATTCCACTCATTCCAGCTGGACTGGCCACAGGGATAAAGAACAGCCAGTGTGATGCTGAGATCCCCAGGGATAGAGCTGAGATAAGAGGGCATCACTCAGGGCTCAGGAACAAAACAAAATGATTCAAAAAACTTAAACCAAAACCTCCATGGAAAATTCTCTAGAGACAGAAAACCCTTTAGCCCCCTGCAGAAACCAAGAGTAAACCAGCATTAGGTAACTCTAAAGCCCTTTATAAGCTGCTGTACAGCTGGAGGATGCACATACACCTCTGCACAAGCTTCATCCTCCCCGTGTTCAAAGCACCCTGGAGTACAACAATAAATCCCGCAAGTCCTTGTAAGCACAGAGCAGGGAGGAGCAAGGAAGGGTGAACTGCAAGGGTGAACTGCTCCCTGTGCTGCATTTCTGGACCATCAGCCCCATAATGAAATCCCTTTGCTGCAGTTCAGGGATGTAACTGCAGGCAGGAACAGAATTTCCATGTGCCACAGGACCCCTGGGCCTGTGTGGGGGCTCACCCTCAGCAGTGCAAGGCTGAAGGACACTTCCACACAGAGAACCTCCAGGGATGCTCTCATGATGCTGTTTCTACCAGGGAGGAAGCCCTCTCTACTGTCTACCCGAAAAGTCCCAAGAGCCTTCATCTTAACATTTATTTTCTGAGGCCAGATTTATCTATATAAATTTTTCTTCCCAGAGAGGCTGAGGCTGTGGCTGCCCCTGGATCCCTGGCAGTGTCCAAGGCCAGGCTGGATGGGGCTTGGAGCAGCCTGGGATAGTGGAAGGTGTTCCTGCCCATGGCAGAGGGTGGAATCAGATGAGCTTTAAGCTCCCTTCCAACCCAATCTGTGTTTCTGTGACTCTATGAAATATGTGAAAAGGTTTAAAATATAGGAAACAGAAAGAAAAACTGCAGGGTCTGGTGTGAGATTTCTTTAGAAATCTGATCATAGAATGGAAGCAACACTTCTGACAGTCCAATCCCCACGGAGCATTCCTGAAGCTTGTCTCCAAATCAGCCTGCTGGGCTTTTCAGCCCTGACTGCTTCACAGGGACAATGAATTTCCTGCTGCCAGTGTCTGTCTCTGGTCTCTGTCACAGTGTTCTGTATCTGAGACAAGTGATTTGGCTTATTTTTAAAAAATCCTGATTACTTCTTTTCCCCCTGAAGTAAAGCAAAAAGAGGTTTAGCAATCTGATCAGTACTGAAACTGAAATCGTTAAGTCCCAAAATAATTTCAATGGATAAAAAATGCTGAATAAGCTCATGCCCCTTACTCCTTCAAAGTAAGAAAAAAAAGCTGGTTTTATGTATGTCTATACATATATAAAACTATATATGGAATTCCAATCATAGAATCATGGAATGATTTGGGTGGAAAAGGACCCTAGAACTCATCTTGTTCCATCCCCTGCCACGGTCAGGGACATCTTCCCCTACCCCAGGATGCTCCAAGCCCAGTCCAACCTAGAAATCCTCTTCCCCTCACTGCTGTGAGCTCTATTAGAGCCCAGAGTGATGAACTGGATGTCTTGAAAAAATCTATTACTAAATGTCAAGATAAGGAAGAAAAAGAAATCAAAAAAGATAAACACTTGTCTCTCCCTGATTTGAAGCTCAGCAATGAAACCCCATGTGCAGTTTACCACCCAAAGCCTCAGTGAAAATGCAGAAAATTGAACATGAGGACAGAACAATTTCAGTCTCTGTGGTCTTCTGATTTTTCAATTGCTCTTCTATAAATCCCTGGAATGCAAGGTGTTCCCAGGAATGAAAACAAAGTGCTTTCCTTCTGTGCAGTGATGACAGGAGGGGAATGCTGCCCTGGAGAAGAGTGTTTGCAGGTGAGGTGACCCCTAAGTATGTGACAACTGCAGAAAAGGCCCAAAAGCTGAACCCAAACCCACAGATAAATCACATTTTTCTCCTTTATACATATGTATTATATACACACACACATTGAGTACTGTAATAATAAAATACTCAGGTTTTTAAAAGTCAGCATAAGCTGGAAAGCATTTCCCCCTTCCCAGAGCTGAGCAGAGGAGGGAACAACTCCTTCACCATTCCAAGAGACCACACTAAAGCCCTTTGTTGTTTGGGAGGAAAGACAGGAGGATTTAAAGATAATGGTTTGCTGCCATGAACCAATTTGTTCTGTCTTCACAGAACAAGAACCCTTAAGCTCAGTAAACAGTTTGGGGCCTACAGCTCTCCTGCCCTTGGCTCCTCCAATGCAAGCTCCAAGGATCTGGCAGCTTTTTCCTGCTCTCCATGTTCCCAAGGAATGGGTGCTGAGGCTTAAGGAGTATCAGTATTCATTATCTTTTCAATACCTTTGTCATCTGATGTTTTAAAGAGATTTTAAAGATTTATGGGATGATAACCACCCCAGGGAAGGGGCCAAGGTATTAAATGACAGGTTTATAGGACCATGGAATGCTTTGGGTGGGAACAGACCTTAAAGCTCATCTCATTCCATCCCCTGCCATCTTACACTGGATGAGGTTGCTCCAAGCCCCGTCCAGCCTGGCCTTGGACACTTCCAGGGATGGGGCAGCTATCAAATATCCACAAAATTCAAAATATTTGAAGAAACAGATGCTGAAATGTATTCTTACTAAAGAAGCTGCCAAAACCCAGTCTCTCAGACAAGCAGTTTTATTATGAAAAGTTGTTGGACTCAGTCTAAGGAATGGTCTGTGTAATTGAAACTATATAAAATATGGAGATAGAGCTAAACTGTATATTAATTTTTAATCTGAGTTTTAGATCTCCTTCAAGTAATTTTAGTATTTGCCCTTGTTTATACTGCAGTCTGAGAATCAGCCAGATGAGTCAGGGAAAAGCCAAAGGAGTACCCAGCCAGGGAGGCCATTTATCAGCTCTCCTCTGATGTCTTCATCTTCCATTTTTTCATTTTCATATTAAGAAAAGTTAAAAATCAATCTTAACTGGGGTGACTGCCCCAGGAATGATTTGCAGGAGACGCAAATGCTGAGTGCTCCTCCAATGTGTGCTTGGAATTCTAAACACACCCCATTATTCCCACTCGGAGCACACGTGGAGCATCTGCCTTACCCAGAGCAGCCTGAACACTCCCAGAATTCCCAGTCATGACTTATTCCAGCTGTTGTGTGCCAGGAGTGCCCATTCCCAGGCTGCTGAAGGCTCTGGCAGCTGGCCCTCACCTGTACACCACGGCAGGGATGCGTTTCCAGGAGCGGAAGCTGGCCACGCTCTCCAGCTCCTTGTCGGTGATCCAGGCAGGAACGATGATCTCCTGGGGGTAACTGCCACACAGCCTGGGGGAAAGGAGCAAAGTCAGGCCTATGGAGCAGCTCCAGACATCCCAGACAGCATAAAGCAGCACTGCAGGAAGCTGACAGCCCTCTGCTTCCCTGGATGTTAATAAAGTCCCCTTCTCCAGCATTAAATATGGAGGGATGGCATTTCTCTCTCTGCCAAAGCAGAGATTCCTCCTGCAGGGACACCAAGCCCCAGCTGGGAGTCACCATCCTGCACAGGCAGAGCTCTCACTCTGCTCCACCACTGTGTTTGTTCCAGCTGGGTTTGTTCTGAGCTGGAGCAGAGATCAGCCAGAACACCCTGTGCCCCCAGCTGGGGATCACAGAGCACCTTCCTCTGCTCCCAGACTGAAAAGGGCTTTTGTCTGCACTTTGAGTACCTCAGAAAGTGTTTTCTGTTACTTACTCATCTACAAATTTAACTCTTCCAAACCTCTGTGGGTTTCTTTTTAAATCTTTGTAGTAAGTTAGAGAATAAGAAACAACACAAAATGTCTTAGAAAGTTCAAACTCCACTCTTTGCTCACTTAAGATCTCCCTTAGAATGCTTATTCTCTTATAAGCCACATCAAAACCTGGTATTTCCAAGCCTAAAAAAACTGTAGCAGCTAATAAAATATTAAATAATTTAAAGCACATTTTTTCTATAAACCAACAAAAAAAATCATTATTTTGATTGTCTCTTCTTAGGAACTGTAGAAGTTGAAAAAAGTTTCAGTAAAAGAGTGTTTTGAGATGCAGTTTGGCTGTGGAGGAGCAGCCCCAGCACTCACTTGTATTTCTCATTGATGTTGGAAATCCTCCAGGCATTGTTCATATCAAATCCCATCCGCTCCACTTCGTTCTTAAACCTGGAAGTTACATGTTCTCCTGGGGACCAAGAGCAGAGGGGGGAAATGAATGGGAAATCTGGAATTGAGATTCCTACTTTGCAAAGCAGAGAAAACCAGCCCATATCTCAATCCAAACCCACCAGCTGCATTTCACAGCCTCATTCTGACATTTGCACTGATACCTCTCACTGGTGAACTCTCCAGAAATGCCACAGTCCAACAAGGAGTTTATTATCAACTTCTGGAAATTCATATTAAAAATCAACCATGCAGATCAGAACCAAGGACATCAGCAAAGGAACTGAGATCCATCAGCAATCCAAGTGGGATGGTGGGAAGTTCAGAACAATTTTCTATCAATGAGAAGAATGTGAAGCACTGGTGAAAGGGTAAGACCTGGAATGTGCCCTGGAACGTGGGCAATCCACTGAATATGCATTTGCAGCCCCAGGTTTCCTGTATGGCTGCAGGCAAGTCCTGTCATGTATCCTGCATCTCAGTTTTCCAACTGAGTAAATTGGGCATTATTCTTCCATGAGTCATGTGGAGATGGAGAGGTAAAATGCATAAATGATTGTTTGACACAAATATCAGTCACAAGAGCCTCACAAACTCTTGGATTAATACATTAAAGGAAGTGGAATGAGTCTCATTAATTTCCTAGACACTTTTGTTTTAAAGTCTCAAAATATAATTGAAAAATATACAATGGCAAGAAAGAATAAGAAGACAGAAAGTCTGGAAAATGAAACAAAATTTCCAGTTTTCCAGGGCTAAGAAAAGTGCTAAATTTAATGAGTATGTGAGCAGCACTAGATAAGTGATTCTGAAAGTTCATCCACTGCATGTCTCTTTAAATTACTGTATCATTAAATCCTGAGGCAGAGCAGCACCCAAGGGGGGGAAATCTGCTGAAAAATTAATGCTTTAAGTATTACATCTTTCCATTAAATATTTTAGAAAACCCTCTAAGTCTTTCAATCCCCCAGATATCTGTAGATACACGTTTAATTCCAAGATGAAATGCACATGTCTGAAATGATTTTTAATGCCATGTTATAGAACAACTAGAAATAAATATAAGTAGGTAAATTAAGAATATAGTCAGCAGCCTAATTACAGGACTTAATTAACGACACTGTTATAAAGGTTCCTTATCAAGAGCAGAGGTGGAATTAGACAACACATTCCAGGAAACAAACTCTGCCAGGTTTGTCCTTAGCAGTGACTTTTTAAATTCAAAAATCCCATGAATTCTTTTACTGGAGCATCACAAGGATGGGCTTCCCCATCAGCTGCACCTTAAAACTTGTGCTACATCTTTTTTTTGGACAGCAAGTAAGAATACTGGAAGTATCCCAAATCAACACTGCTCAGCCTGGTGGGTTTTAAGAGAAATACATAAAGCTACATGAAAATCAAATATTCTGTTTGATTTTTCCCTCTTAATTTTAAGCTAATGTGAAGCCACAGGTTTTCCTCTTGGAAACAAAATCCCAACCATAATATTTTGTCCATTTCTCCTGAACTGCTGGTATTTTAAGAGGCACTTAGAGCCAACATTGATAATGTTTAGAAGTATCCCAATCCACTCTCAAAATCCTAGGGAAAGCAAGGTAGGTGTTTTGTGGGGTTGTGCTTCCTATTAAAGCTGACCCTGTGAGCCACAGCCTGGATCTCTACTACAGACACTGCTAACATATTTTTCCCAGAAAATATGTTCTGTTGACACTTGGATGGATTTTGAAGCACTTTAGTACTTTTGTCTGTATCTACCAAATAATGGGTTCCTTGGACATAGAAGAGAAATGACAATGTGGCTTGGGACTGACTTCTTCAACCACAATCACACTGATTTATTTCAGCTATAATTCAGCTCTTTGAAGGAGAGTATCTGCCCCCAGCCACAGGCAGCTACAGGGAGATAAAGTTATATGAAAGAAAATTATTTGACAGACAAAACTGCAAGAAAAAAAAATTATAAAAGTTAATAAAAAGGTAAATGTGGCTTCTTATTCTTCAAGTGTCCAAGGCCAGGCTGGACTTGGAAAAGCCTGGTGTAGTGGAAGGTATTCCTGCCCATGGCAAAGGGTGGAATGAGATGGGCTTTAAGGTTCCTTCCAATCCAAACCATGACTCCAGGATTATCCTAACCTAGCTCAGGCTGAAGTCCCTCAGTTTCAGTGAGGAAGATGAGACTCAGCAAGGTCTGCCAGTTGCCATTTCCCAAATATAGTTAGGAGGGAAAAGTCCTGGGTGTGAAATTCTGCTCTGAGGGTTTTTTTGGCATTTTCCAGAAGCTGCTAATGAACTGTGTGAAAAGGAACAGGGCCAGGGAGCTCCTCCTCCCACTGTGTGATCCCTGCCCCTCCCCAGACAGCACAGACACAGCCTGTGCCCAGCCCCAGAGCAGCTTCAGCAGCAAGGACAGAATCTCAGCCTGGCATCGGAGACACTTCCCTGAGGCAGTAAATCTTGACTGACAGGAGATCACAGAGTGCCTGGAAATCAGATTTCTTATACTCAACCAAGTGCTACAACCACCAGCATGTCAAGTTTGAGCTTTTATTTTATTTACTTGTGGGCTTCTAAAGTTCTACAGCAAGGATAGTATTTCACTAAAAGAGATCACTGCCTGTGGCTGTGAATGAACCTCAGGAGTAGCTCAGGGGCTCCCTTCTCCTCCTCCTCCTTCTCCTCCTCCTCCCTTCTCCTCCCCAACATCCATTTTGGAGATCACTGTTCCAGACAAAAACCGTGGCAATCAACCCCAAATGGTTTAGACCGAAAGCTGCTGCCATGGCTGGTTCTACACCCGACTGACTGGATCCAAGCCAGGCCAGTGATTTGTGGGGATATCCAGGTGCTGCTCTGGTGATGCCAAGGCTGTCCCCACGTACCTGGCCGACACAAGTCCCCGTGCTGCTCCTTCTCACTGGCGTACACCTCCATGCACCAGGCGTGGTAGGCGAAGGAGAACAGGTCCTCGATCTTGGACGGGGGGCGGATGGCATTGTTCAGCCTCTTCAGCCAGTCCTGACACTGCTCAAACGTGGAAAACTGACACCTGGCCCAGAGACAAACATTCCATGTGACTTTCTGTAAGACAGGCCACTCCAGAAGGTGACAGGCTGAGCATGAAAAGCTCTGTGAGAGCACAAAGTGAGGATAAACACCATATTGACAACTTCCTTCCATGTGCACTTTAATGGGAAGTAAAAGGAAACCTGTGGAATGAGTAAGGAAACATTTAGGGAGTCAGGACTGACTGAGCAGCAATGTTCTGTGACTGGGAATAACCAGGGTGTGCTGTGCCAGAAATGAGGGGGACATTGCTCCACGTGTTACCTATGAAAGCAAGGAAAGATCATTCAGGTCAAAGATAGGAATTTGTAACAGCACCTGGAATCGGGGAAACTCAGAAAACTATCCCACATATTATAATCTACTATAATCTAATCTAATCTAATCTAACTGTAATCACAGTTCTGTAGACAAGAACAGGCTGGGAGAGCTGGGGGTGCTCACCTGGAGAGGAGAAGGATCCAGAGAGAGCTCAGAGCCCCTGCCAGGGCCTAAAGGGGCTCCAGGAGAGCTGGAGAGGGACTGGGGACAAGGGATGGAGGGACAGGACACAGGGAATGGCTCCCACTGCCAGAGGGCAGGGCTGGATGGGATATTGGGAAGGAATTGTTCCCTGGCAGGGTGGGCAGGCCCTGGCACAGGGTGCCCAGAGCAGCTGTGGCTGCCCCTGGATCCCTGGCAGTGTCCAAGGCCAGGCTGGACATTGGGGTTGGAGCAGCCTGGGACAGTGGGAGGTGTCCCTGCCCATGGCAGGGGGTAGAGTGAGATGAGTTTTAAGGTCCTTTTTAAACCCTTCTCTTTCTGCCTTTGTTGGGAAGCACAGATTCAGCTTTGCCCAGTGTTACAGACTAACAACAAGCAGAGAGAATATTCCCTGCACAGGAGAAACCAATCTTCAAAGCAGTGCATTAAAATTACATTAGCTTTTCTTTTCAAAGAGGATTCCTGGACTCTTTAGAGTAAAAGGGTGGAAAGAAACCAGTGATTTATTTTGCCCTGACGTTTTTCTTTAAAATTTTATAGTTATTAAATATTTCCCAGGTATTTCCATTCAGCTCAGTCCTGGTTAATGATGGCATCTGCATTCCCTGGGGGCAGATTTATCTCCCCTACCTGCAAATAGCTCAGAGCCACAAGGTGGAAAGGAAAAGCCATGTCCAACATCTCCCAAGAGTTGTGAGGAACTGCAGCCTGAGGTGTTTATTTATTTCCCATCACTGACTGTAAAGCAAGCCCAGGCTACTCGCTGAGACAGGATAATTCTCTATTAAGCATCTACACTCAGACAAGATACATCTCACCCTAAATTCCTTCTAAATTCTTTTGAAGTTAGTGGTGTAAACAACAAGTATTATCTCCACTTGGATTCTATTTCTCAAAATACAAAGTTTGCTCATGAAAAAGAACAAGAATACATTCTAGCTCTTCTGTCTCAGTCCCAAAAAACTTCACCATCTCCCAACCATCACCAAGTACTCAGTCCTGGAGATGCAATTTTGAGAAGAAATTGATAAGGATGGCAAAAATACAAATAATTTGTATTCATTCTACAACTGAAGGGAAATAACAAATTAATGTAGGGAGGAAGGGTGACTTTCTTAAATGTCAAGAGCTACAAGTGAAGAGGAAGTTAAACATTGAATTCAAATTAAACTAAATATTACTTCTAAAGTAAAATCAGTCCTGGTGAAAAAACAGCCTTTCAGGAAGCAGCTGACCTGTTAAACATTCTGAGTGCTCCGAGATGGCTGGGGCTACTTTCATTACACAAAAGGTACAGCCAGCAAACATTTAATCAAAAATAAATGTTCTCTTCTTAATTAAAGTTCATAGATCAAAATTAATTTCTGCAGCAGAAAAGTCTAAAAAAAAAACAACAAACCAGCAAGGTGCCAGCTCAGGCTGGGCAGCTCAGAGAGCCCTGGCTCAGGTCTGGGGTGTGGGGAAGGACAGCCAGGAGTTATTGCTGCCTGCACACCTGCATTTACCACCTTCCTTCATTTTCTCTCCATTTATCCTCTCATTTTCTGTTCCAGGAGGTTGCCATGCCTCAAGGATAGTGACTGTACCCTCCAGGATGTTGAAAATGCAGAGTGGATGAAGCCTCCAAACCCCAAATCATGATTAAACACATTTGCAATGTGTTTATCAGTGACATTTATCTACTTCTGTACCTACTGACATGGAGATATTGATGTATCTATAATATATTGAAGCAATGTATTATAACTGATTGCAAAGCAGGGACACAGTGAGACTAAAATCAGTTTCAGAATAAAACCAAGATCAGCCACGTGGGCTCAGAGCAAGGTTTGCTGCTGTCCTGAATCACAACAATGAGACACAGAGCCCACCTTGTATAAAAATCAGACCAAATAAAAAGCATTTGAGGGAAATCAAGTAAGAAACTCCATTTCCTTGAACCATCCCAGCTGCTGGAAAGGAAATTTTCCCCCTTTAACATTGAGCCTCTCCTACCTTATAACCTTGCAGTCCTTGCAAGTCAAGTGAAGCTGGAATATATCCCTGCACTCCACACTCTCAATGAGCTGCAATGGAACCTGCAATTAAACACATCAGATTATTTCATTTAAGCACCAGTTACAGCAATTTCTTTGCATATCTCCCAAGGATTTACTGTAGGCTACATGAAATCTGAAGAGAGAGAAACAAAGGAATCCACGTGGAATTACTTCAGCAGCTCTGAAGTTCATATTCCAGCTCCAGACCTGTGTAGCCCAAAAGCCTTAAGGGATCCTATGGGAGCAGCTGAGAAGGCTGCAGGAAAGGCAGCAGACACCCCAGCTCCTCTCTCATGGAAGCAGCTTTCTCTCTTATAGGTCCAAATTTAGGAATCTTAATATATTTTTAGCTGATGGTATTCAAAAAGAACTGCTAAGCAAGATCCCCTTAACAGATTGCTGCAGTCTGGATGCTTTTCTATGGTAATATCCAATATTTCCTCCTCAGGGAAAAACCCTTTGGCCTGTTTAGATCAACACTAGCAATGGAAGCAGCTGAATTTAGAGTGCTAATGCTGAATCTTTTCCATTTGAAGTGCAGTTACAGACACTTCTGTTTCCTGGCATGTTTAACCAGCAGCAGGTTGGTCAGACAACACATGACAGCACATGCAAGTACCTTTAAGGATGAGAAAACCCATAAGATGAAAATATTAATTTTCAATATTAGTTTTGGAACTTTACCTGAGATGGGCAAACGTACCCTATTGCCTTAAATGAACAGTAGCCATAAATAACTGTCTTAATTTAGCTAATACCTGTAATTAATGTGAAGCACAAATCTGTTTGAATTGTTTAGTAGATTATATGGACATTGCACAAGGCAATGAAAACCTCTGCTATCCTTTAGTAACATTCAAATACTCTGATTTTTGCCATCACAGGCCTAAGATCCAGCAGTTTAAGGTTTGGCTTGGGGCTTACAAGATGTGGCTGGAAGAGCCAGGGCTTCCCCACATGCTTGGGCAAGTTCTTGAAGGCCACCTCCAACCAAAGCTCCAGGATAAGGAATCAAGACAACAAGTTCTCAGGTACCACAAAGCTTAAAAAGTACCTCATTTTGGTGGAATAAAAAAAAAAGAAACGAACTCAAACCAGCAGGAAAGGAAAAGAGATGTCTCAAAAATACAAACCAAGGGAAAACCTCCTTTGAGCAGGGAGGTGCCTGGAGCAAGCTCAGGGAAATGCCCAGGAAAGAGATGAGAACTCTGCTGGCTCTGGGGAGGGCAGGCACAGCTCAGGGCAGCACCTCAGACAGAGCCCAGAGCATTCTCAAATCACTGCCCACAGCTCACAGCCCCCAGATACAACAGGCACAGACTTTTTAATGCTCAGCCCATGTCAGACCACAATCAGAGACAGCTCTGGAGCCACCAACCTTTCCCTGCTGTGTCCAGCAAGGCTGGGACAGGGGAGTTACTCTGCTCCTTCTGTTGGAACTGGACATGAAATGACAGAAAATTCATGGACAGGACTTGGCAAGAGGGTGTCACTCCACAGCCCAGTGGTTTGGGTTTTCAAATCTGGATTTCAAATAAAGCTGGAATTTGAATTTCTGTCCATGTTTTCAGCACTGTCACTGGTTGAGATCTGTGACAGAATCAGTGATGTGTAGGGGGCAGGAAATGAGGAATCCCTCCTGTGAGAGCCCCTCTGTGTCTGTCTAAGCTCAGCCTGACTGTGGTGACTCCACCAAAGCAGCAGAGGACTAAAGTGCAGCACAGACCACACCAAGTGCTCTGTTCCACAGCTGATCTCTGTATTTCACATGTTCATTCCTTCCAAGCCTTCTCCTGCTTGATCCCAGTCTGCCAGGCAGGTCAATGGTCCGAGTTTTGTCTGACCAATGGGCAGGAATGGAGCTCAGACTGGAGAATCTTCCAGTCTGTCTTCACAACTGGGCAGCCCCACAGAGACCTAATAATTCCCAGGAGGAATTTCTGCATGGAAAGGGTGGTGAGGCATTGGAAGGGATTGCCCAGGGAGGTTTGGAGTCCCCAACCCTAGAGGTGTCCCAGGAAGGACTGGATGTGACACTCAGTGCTCCAGGCTGAGGACAAGGTGGGGATTGGACAGAGGATGGACTCGATAGCCTGGGAGGGCTTTTCCAACTTAAATGATTCTGGAATAACTTATTTAAATCTACCACTGAATTAAATGGACCACCATGGAAAGAAAGGCATCTTTCCCAGATGAATCAAGATTTCAGACTTGCTTTTTAAGTCCAGTGCTGCTTTGTCTGTTATCTTTTTATTCCCCAAGCCCTATTTTATTCTGTTTTTTCCCATGTCCATCTTCATTTATGCAGTTCTCCACCTTTTCCCTCCTCCTGGCATTCTGCTTGTGGCTCTTCTTCCTTCTCTCTGCACTCTAATGACAAACTAATTCCTCTCCTCCTGCGTTATTTTTAATTTCCTTCTTCCAAAGTCACTCCTTGTTTCCTGCCCTTTCCCTGTGCCCTCTGCTCCCCAGCCATCCATTCCCCTCTGACAGCCCACCAGTGATTCCCTCCCAATCTGCAGCTTTTTCTTCAGGACAACCTTCCCATTAATCTTTTTAATTTTCCTTCCCAGTCATAAAAATCTGTCCTCTGGTGCTCTGGTGTTTTCAATCTCCTTCCTGGCCATTATTTTCCCCCAGCAAAGCTCTGTGGAATTATCTCCCATCATTCCCTCCCTGATAACCTTCCCTTCCCACTGCACATCCTTCAGTTTGCTGCCAGTCCGACACCCAGAGCCCATTCCTGGAAGAGCCATCAATTCTATCTGCAGGCACTTCCCTCTAATAATGGCATGGAAACCAGGCAGGGAGAAGCAATCATTTTTGCTTTTATAAGAATAAACATGCATTGTTATCTGAGGCAAATTACATCCCATTATAAGAAGTACAGGAGCATCCTGCTCTTGCAGTATCTCCAGTCTGTCTCTTATTTGAAATCATCTCATTTTAAATAACAGCAACCTTCTACAACTTCAACTTTTTATTTTTGATGGGTTTTTTTAAATGATTTTGATGACTGGAGCTGTCTGTTATCTAAGAGCAGTACAAGATATATTTAGAGAATTACAGCTCTGTAGTTAGAAAAAGCACAAGTTGTATTTTCAGTGCTGAACCAATCCCCCCCATCCCAATCCATGCCCACAATTCCCAGTGGGGTGCAGTGGATCATGGCCAGGCTGCTGCAGGCACCAGTGACCCTGCCAGAAACCCTCCCTGTGCCCCATTTGGCCCAAACCTCTCCAGCACCTCCCGTGGCACCCAGGCCCTGGAAGCTGGAATTGGGATTTCCTCTTTGCTTTCCCAGCCCAGAGCTGGAACAATGTCAGGGTTATGGGGCAGGCTGGTGGCTTTAACAAGCACTAAGGCCAGGACTGGGTGTCCTGGAGCACAGGATGAGGTGGCACATGGAGGCACTGAGGGTGCAAGGACAGCTCTGAAGGGCACCAGGGTGGAGGGAGCTGAATCCCTCCTGGGTTCATGGAACCCACAAGGACTGTCCAAAGCAAATTTTGCTTTTAGTTACAGCTGATGACACTTTGGGTTTGTCTTGAAGGCCACTTCTGAGCCCCCTCTTCTCTCACTATTGTTGTGCTCAGAGTGTGAAGAATTGGGGCAGTATGGCCTGAGGACAAGACAAGGATTATGCCACTCTCCAACAGGGATGAACCACAACAGCCATAGACATGAGGAATATCACAATCCAACCATTTTTCCAAGCAAAGGAGAGCTCACATTAAAACTCATCTCCTCATCAAAGTCCCCCCAATCATGACTTTTCTTTGGTAATGTGTCCAAAATCCACCATTGGAAAGAGATTACATGCAATCCATGCTTCCACAAACTCCACTAAAATGTTAAATCTCCCATCAATGCAATTAGCTTACAGGGAGGAAAGTGATTAGACAGAAACACTGAGCAGCTGCAAAGTCTGACATTTTCTTAAGGAATCAATAGAGCTGAGCCTGGGAACCAAACCTCCCCTGTGCACCAAGAGATCCCTGTTGAGTCTGCACTTTTATCCTGTGGATAAATGTAAGTCAACACCCCTGAATGTCATAATCCCCCCAATTTATGCATGGTCTGTAGGACCTTTTGTTTTTGCATTTGAAACACCATGTTCCTATTAGCACTGAGATCTAGGAAATTATCCATGGGAAAGATCTCCACACACAGCCCTTTTCTGCACTGTTGCAATGGGAACATTAACAACTTTGAATGGATTATTTCCCAGCCCAGGTGATGTGGAGCTCTGTGCTGCTCACTGAGGTGTCACAGCACCATTTTCACAGCCAGGGAACTGTAACCAAACAAGAGGGAAAAGCCACACCCAGGAATGAAGAATTTCTTACAGGTATTTGTTGAACAGCTGTGGTGGCATAAAAACAACAGGAAAGAATCAAGATGAACTCAATCAAAAAGTACTCAGTGAAGATTTGAATTAGAAAATCATCATCTGATCAAGAATTTTGGTCAACAATAACTAAAAGGATTACTACTGCTAATATTAACAATTTAAATATGGTTCTTCATTACTGAAGAATGTTTTATCTTTAAAGATATCCCAAGCCCTCCCTGCCCTGGATGTCAGTGGAGTTCATAGGAAGTTATTAGTGATATAGATGGTTACAAAGAATGATTTATACACTGCTCTACCTCATACTCTGATTATTTCTAGTTAATGATGCTGATGATAATGAGAAGAATGAGAAGGCAGAACACTGCATGTGAAAGTCAGGGAAGAAAAATTAACATGGGAATATTGACAAGCTTCTGTGACTGTTCCCTGAACACAATCAAGGAACGTGATTTGAGAAAACATCAATTCTTGCAATGCTCAAAAATACTGAACTGAAAATCCCTATAAAGTAATATCCCTAATTATCCTAAGTACAGGAAGTGCAGTTCATGCTCTAATGGCTTCTCTAATAAAGGAACTCCATCATTCCCTGGCATTCCTCAGGACACTCTTGATTTCCAGCTGGTGAGACTGGGCTGTGTGAGCATCACAGCACTGCCCAGCACTGTCCAGCACCCATTAACTGTGTCTGGTACCTGAGGAGGTGCAGATGGAACCATTTTAAGGAATGGACACTTGGAATAAAACTCCCTAAAGAAATGCATTGAAGGTGAGGAACCACTCCTGAGCTACATCAGGAGTTACATCAAAGACTGCACTCAAACCACCCCCAACATCTGGCACAGAATTTCAGCAGCTGGACCCATTCCCACCTTCTGGAGCTCCTAAATCAGGTTTAGGTGCTCCAAAAGCCCCTTGGAATTTGGACTGTTTCTCCTCACTGAGCTTGGGGACAGCAGGTGGCTGACACAGCCAGCTGTGCAAATTGAAGGATGTGACATTTCCTTATGACACCTGATTTTCAGAGCTGCTGCGTCACCTTTTGCTGCCTAAATACATATTTATTGTCCCAAGTAATCGATCTGAACATCAGAAAAAGATTTTTCATTCCTAAAAGGTGGGGGGGAGGGGATCACTGTACTCTTATCTCAAATTCTGTTATTTCCATTGAGATGAGAATACCTGAAAGCACTTACATTCACAACAGATTCCTTGAATTTGATGTGGAGCCTGTAGTTGGAAAGGGCAATGATGGCATCCTCTGCTCGTCCCACGTACTCTGTGCTCTCCCCGTGGAGCTCAATGAAGGGCACCTGCAGGAAGGCAGCAAAAATGTGATTACAGAGACCATTTCCCCAAAATCTGCCCTTCCTGCAGCACAAGAAATCAAACAAAGCCTGCTGAGAATTCAGCCCCGTTATTGCTGCTAAGGAAGAACATCAGGTAAGGTTGGCTCTGAGGTTAATTGCAGCCTTTTTCTGAAATGATCCCTTATTTTATGTTACTTTTCCTCAGTGGTAAGTGCCTGATCAGGGAAAGCAATGAATTTTTATGAAAAATATCCTCACATTTTGGCAAGCAGGCTGACAAAGCCCTTGATTTATGCTCTCACTCCTTACTTAATGGAGAGTGGCATTTCCATAATGTTATTAAATTTATTGTAAAGTAGGCACAACATCCAGGATGAATAATGCTCCCTGCTCCTTCCCCACTCTTCACCCAGCAAGCCCAGGTAACCAGCCTAGGCTGGATCCCTAAATTGAACAAATCAAGCTTTTTGCTCCCTATTTCTCACAGTAAATATGAAAATGCACAAAAAGGTGCTGCTTCATAAAGTCAGAAACCTGCAGTTCATTACATCACACATGGAAACTGTCAATGGTTAATTAAAAATGTGACTTAAGCCCAGTTTAGCTGAGCTGGGTGGAAAGTGTAAAAGCTCAACTTGAAAGTGATCTGGTTGTACAGCAAAGTAGCTTGAATCAAACAAAAATACTTTATATTACAATGAAACTCTTCAGCTGATGTAAGAATGTCTACATGGAGAGCCAGGCTGGGAGAGCTGGGGGTGCTCACCTGGAGAGGAGAAGGATCCAGGGAGAGCTCAGAGCCCCTTCCAGGGCCTAAAGGGGCTCCAGGAGAGCTGGAGAGGGACCGGGGACAAGGGATGGAGGGACAGGACAGAGGGAATGGCTTCCACTGCCAGAGGGCAGGGCTGGATGGGATATTGGGAAGGAATTGTTCCCTGGCAGGGTGGGCAGGCCCTGGCACAGGGTGCCCAGAGCAGCTGTGGCTGCCCCTGGATCCCTGGCAGTGTCCAAGGCCAGGCTGGACACTGGGGCTTGGAGCAGCCTGGGACAGTGGGAGGTGTCCCTGCCCATGGCAGGGATGGGACATTGGGGCTTTAAAGTCCTTTCCAACCCAAACTATTCCATGATTCTATGGTAAATCATTTGAACTAAACTGATTTCAAGAAGAGCTTTGGAAAATAAAGACATTTTAAAATATCTGGTTTTGTGCAACAGAAGACTTTTGGCTTCACAATAACCAGATGTAAAGGCAGTGTTTAATCAGCATAGTGCTGCTTTTTCAAAACAACACAGCTCTGAACTATGGAGTAAAACCTGACCCTTGGAATTAGTGCACAGGTAGCAGTGATATTTTTCAGGCACTTGAAGCAATTTCCTGTAATAAAATTCCCAAGTTCTCTGTCCTACCAACAATACAGCAATATTTAAGAGGAAAATGAGTTTCTGTGCTAACTGTGAATTACAATTCTCGAGGAGAGGCCAGAGAATCCATAAGCAACTGGAGGCAGTGTGATTTGAACAGGAGCAGTGTGGGGATTACCTGAAGGTTCTCATCCTCTCGGATCAGCTGCTTCCTGGGAAAAATCTGATTAGCCTGGATGCATTCAAGGCTGTGCTGAGTCTCCTCATCCTGAGGAACAAAGTGTGACAGTCACCTGCAGCACTGGCACCTGCTGCCACCTTCCCCAACCATCCACAGCCAAGGAAAAGCTCCCACAGGATGAAGTGTCCAGAGAATTCCAGGAGCAGGAACACCCTGAAGTTTCTAAACTCTCCAACACAGGCCCTCAGACAACAAATTTGGTATTAGCAACACTTTCCTTCCTACAGCCTGATTAATAAAGTCATTAAAAGCTGGAAGATTAATAGCACCATTAGGCAAAAAGCATTAGCACTCTGCCTAAAACTCAACAACCCCACATGTAAACATTAATTCCCAATGTTTTTCCCATTTTAAACTCTTCTGCTCTGTCACAGACCCCACAAAGTCCCTTTGCTTACCATGACAGGCCCTGGGCAGGAGGAGGAATCCTCGTCTTCACTTGCAATACTTTGTGCTCTTCACTTATTAAAACCTAGAAAACCAAGGAAGTATAATTATGAAATAAGATTCATTTTCTTTTGGCAAATAAATTAACTTTTAAAGACTGTGAATGTAACTGTTAGAAAACTGAGAGCAAACAGTAATTATGAAAATATGAAATCCATAGAAGCTCTGTCTCCTGAGAGCCAAAATTGTTTCAAAATGTGTCTGGTTCCTTCTGTTCATCCTGAAAAATTACCTTTGGAATTGCTGCTGGGAGAACACCTGTGTGAAGGCAGCAATTAGACCAGTGTTTATATAATTTAAATTAAAACATGTTCATCTTTCTGGATCCCCCAGAATTTTCTCCCAAGTTGTTTGCAGATGGTGAATCAGAAATCCGTGGGTTTCAAATCCAAAGGGATTGTTGGGATCCTTTAGGCTGATCTGGTGTGAAACACAGGGCTTGGATCCTCCTGGAACAAGCTCGTTTCAACTATGGCACATCAACTGGAATTCTTATTGGATAAAAATCCTCATTTTACACTTATGGCTTCTTTTGGATATCCATGGAAAGACCAAAATATCCATTTTCCTGCACTGACCTTTGCAGGAGTTCCAGACCACTACACTGGGGACTTGCTCTCTCCACTATCCAAGGACCCCTCAAACTTTATCACATGCAAATTTTCTGGGAATATTAACACAGTCCTGAGGTTTATGCAAATAACCCAATTAGGAACTTAATGGCAGAAGTGAATACAGGAGTTATAATTTGGGTTTCAGATTGATTTTACACTCAGGCTTTTTAATCCAGGTAGGTTCTTCCCTTTTCTACTCAACAGGGATTCACTCAGGTATTTATGGGGTTTGCAGACTGAGGCACACAAAACTTACAAATGAAAATACATCACAGGAGTGCAGTCAGTTCTCAGTTCACATCCAAAGTTCATATCTCACTTTACTTCAAAATGTATTTCAGATTATCAGTATTGAGGCTGGCAGAGAAAATAATTTCAATCCATTCAATCCCTGAACACACCCATGGTATGGAATACTGACACAGAGCAAAGTAGCACAGCTCACATCAAGGACCTTCAATATGTGTGTTTGTAAATATATTTACATAAAAGGGGGAAATGATGAGCAGAACTGAGCTCAAACTGCCATGGATTCACTAAAATTAATGCAAAAAGTAGATATAAAATCTTGGGAGAGCTGGGGAGGGACTGGGGACAAGGGATGGAGGGACAGGACATAGGGAATGGCTTCCACTGCCAGAGGGCAGGGCTGGATGGGATATTGGGCAGGAATTGTTCCCTGGCAGGGTGGGCAGGCCCTGGCACAGGGTGCCCAGAGCAGCTGTGGCTGCCCCTGCATCCCTGGCAGTGCCCAAGGCCAGGTTGGACATTGGGGTTGGAACAGCCTGGGACAGTGGGAGGTGTCCCTGCCCGTGGCAGGGGGTGGCACAGGATGGTCCCTTCCTACCAAAACCATTCCAGGACTGTATGATATTACAAAATACCTTGTTATTTCAAAGGACTACTTCAGTTTCACACACAATTAGCAAAGAAATACCAATTTAATTTTAAAAATTTGCTTTATTACAAATTTGAAGCTTGCTTAGAATCTCTGAGGAAAAGTTTTAATTTAACAAGCACTATGCTGGAAAAAATTCTTCCATACTTCACTTTGATTAGACATATATAACTTATAACTTTATTATATAATTACCTATGTATTAATAAAACCAGTATTAGCTTAGAAAATTGGATCTTTTAAAATATCTTACAGCTGTGCTCCTAAAATCCAGCATAAACCTCCAGCTGAGACTTCCCAAAGTACCAAGTTTCAGTCTAACTCCTGCATTCAGTGCAGAACAGTTTCTACTGTGACAGTTTGGCTTTTTCCATGTGAGAATCTTCCTTTTTAAAGTGAATTTTGGGAAGTTGTGTGGAAAAACAAATCTGCCTGTTTCAGTTTGGATCAGGATTATCAGATCCAAAGGGTGATGCTGCCAAGATAAATGGCACAAGAAGTTATAGGACCGGTTCTAAAGCAAACACTTTGCTCTGGCTGCTGCTGGGCATCAGTGAAACGCTTCAGTGACTTCCCTGCCACCAAAGGAGCGCTGAAAATTGCTGACAGAAATAACAAAAAGGCTGAATTGTGACAATGAGGCTCTCTGAGCTGATGGACAGAGAGAAAGAATTCCTTTCCCATCACATCCATGAGCTGATCCCACTCCCTCCAGCAGCTCAGGTCACTGGGCTGAGCAAAAGGAAAAGAGAAGAGCTCTGGGAGCACCACACACTGCTCAGGACAGCCCAAACCACACCTCAATCCACATTTCTTTCTATCCCATTTCCAGTTCACCAAACTCTTTCCATGGGAACAGGAGGAGGATCCCAGTGACTGGTGACACCTCATCAGGGCATTTGTGGCTTTAGAAGCCTTGGAAATAAGAACATTTCTCATGTCATCAACTCCACCAAGCACTCCTGAAGCTCCCCACCGTGCTGCTCCCAGGGACAGCTGGGGACAAAGCCAGCCCAGCACCAAGTGGCTGCACAAACCCATCCTCAGGCTGATCCACACCACTTCTAGGACTGCACAATGGAAGGAGAATTCTCATTTTGTTCAACTACAGCTGTGCCCTGATAGTAAAACCCATTTTCCAGAAGTGAAATGGAAAGGTACAAACACAGCTCAGATAAAAAATCCTGGCCAGAAAAGCAGCCTTTAACTCACACTCCTACTTATCAACAGGATCACATCAAAATAGCAGCCACCTTATACACAGAGCAGTAAAACTTGGTTTTATTGGTACAAATATTGGGTTTGGTCAGGACTGAGGCCAAAAAAAGGTGATGTTATCAATTTACTGTCTGTCCTTTTACCTGCAATTCTCAAAAAAGAGAATGGTCTTGTTCATTCTCCATCTTTATGTTCTGCTTAAAAGGATAAATGATGAGCAAAGGTTGTAACCTCAGACTCTGTTCAGCTTCCATGGGAACATCTTAATTACCTTTTGTTTCAGATGTGCCTTCTGGTTTAAATTATGTACATAATTAAGAGTAGCAATAACCATCTGTTTGCCAGTGATTCTAAACAAAAAAAGATTAGCTAAATAAAGGATTGTTTAAATTCACATATATTTAAATGCACTTGGACTTTCAGCAAGGAAAAGGAAAAATTGGAGGGAAAAAAGGAAAAAGGAAGAAACCAAGCATTTCACTTTGTTCCCTTATCTTCCATCCATCCAGACTGAATTCCATTTATTTTAATATCAAAATCAGACTGAGCTGACTCCTGAGCAGTTTACATACTGCAGCACAGTTGCCCTCTGAGTTTGGAATTCAAATTTTTTGGCAAAGGAACATTAGAAAATTTGAGAATTGAACATTCAAGAATGTGCTGTACCTTGAGCAAAAGATGCTTCTGTTGCAAACTGAAAACACTTCTCTCCCTTTGGCAGGTGGAAGGAAATGTCTGAGATAAGGATAAACACTCAGTGTGCCCTATTTCAGTCCCTGACAGGAAGGTTTCTCCTCTTTCCTGACACCACAGTAACTCTCAGCAGGATTTACTGGGAGAGCAGCTGACAATGTGGATATTTGCACATTATTCAGGAATAGGAGCAGGACAAAGAATAGTCTTTGAAGCTTGGGCACAACTAAGAGTCAAGAACCTTCCTTTTCAATAATTAAAGGTTGCAAACTCCAACTCAGTGAAATACTAATTTTTCTCTAAGATCTTGGAAAACACTTTATTTAATGAAGAGAATAATCAATGATGAGCACAGAATCCATAAACATGCAATTCTTACCAAAGTATGAGAGAATAAACAGTCCTCTCTTGTCCCAGAAAGTTCCAACTGTTCTCTTCTGATACTTCACATTGGCAGCTGCAAACACAAAGACAACACTTTAAAACATGAACTTCCCTTGAAAAACCACTTCTGAACCAGGAGCCTGCACAGGACACTGCACTGTGAGGGGAGTTTGGATTAATTCAAGAGGAAAAAGAAAGTCTGAGTGCCTTGTAGTTGTAACAAGAGCTTAACATGCTCAGAGAGGGAATTCCAGGGCTGGATTCCCATGGATAAAGCCTCTTTTCTGGCAAGGAGCAGTTCTGAAATCATGGCCACAAAGCAATTCAGAATTTCATAAATGAGTGAACAAAACCTGAATTACCTCACAATATGAGCTATAATGAATTTTCTAGAAGATCCAACTGGATTTATACTGATCTTCAAAGTGGGTTTAATTTTCCACTGCAACTGGCATTTCTGGCCCCAAGAAAGCCAATGAAGACTCCCCAAACAGTGATTGCTGCCCATGTGCTTTGGTCCAATGGTGCAAAAATCCCAGGGATCAGCAATGCTCACAAGGCCACTCCTGCCAAGCCCTTTTCTCTGGACTGTCAAAGTGCTGTACAAACACCTATTGCACCAAAAATGAGATACTGTGCCAGAAATATATATTTGTCAAAAACTACATGGAGAAAAAAAATCTGATCTGCTTCATTCCTACAGTCACTCCAACAGGACCAACAGATGTCTCCTGTGGCATCAGGACATAAGGTTTAATGCTAAAATATCCAAACCCTAAAATTAAAAGTTCCAGACTAACTCAATTGCTCCTAAAGCACACAAGCAGCCAAAGTGATGTGATACCACTCCCTTGTATCCAAAGATCTGCTCTTCACAGAAACTTGGATACTCTCCCAGTAGCACACTGCATCTGGATGTGCCTGGAAAGTCTAATTTTTCCACCATATAATCCTGCTGCTGGAAATAGTTTGCCTGTACTTTGATGTGCCACAACTACTGATAATTTTCACATTCTGGTAGATGAAATAAAATACTTCTGTATTTTGCGTTCATTGTGTCCTTTGGTTTATGACTTAGGACAGGGAAAATAAGTAATACACAGAAAAAGGAGATATAATTTTAGGACTGACAGAATAGAAGGAAAAAGTTGACCAAGTTGTGCATCAAAAATGCTGAATTTCAGAGTTGTGCCCCAAGCCCAGCATTGTCAGCTGGCTGAGGGAGGGGACTGTCCAGCTCTGCTCTGGGGTGGCCTCTCCTCAAGTGCTGGGGACAGCTTTGGGCACCACAGTGTGAGAAGGATGGAAAGGTGGTGGAGATGGACCAAAGGAGGGGAACAAGGATGGGGAAGGGTTTGGAGGGGCTGAGGGCACCCGGAATGTTCAGCTGGAGCAGAGGACACTGAGGGGAGACTCCTCAGGGGCTGCAGCTCCAATCTCTGCTCCTGGGACAGGGACAGCACCCAGGGCAGGGCTGGAGCTGGGCCAGGGCAGGCTCAGGCTGGAGCTCAGGGCAAGGTTCTTCCCCCAGAGGGTGCTGGGCACTGCCCAGGCTCCCCAGGGAATGGGCACGGCCCCGAGGCTGCCAGAGCTCCAGGAGCGTTTGGACAGCGCTGCCAGGGATGGACAGGCTGGGATTGTTGGGGGGTCTGTGCAGGGACAGGGGCTGGATCCATGATCCCTGTGGGTCCCTTCCCATGCAGGGTTTTCATGATTCTAGGATTCTAACACAAGCTGAGATGCAGCAGAAGGAATTCTACCATCTCACATGATGGACATTTTAGGGGATCTCCTGGAATCTCAGTATTTACACAAACAGGGAGCTGAGGATGTGCTCGAACAGAAAAGCCCTGTGTCCATGCCAGCTGCCCAAAACCTCAGCTCAACTTCATTTACCATTTCATAAAAGACTTTCTAAAAGCAACATTTCATTACCTGCAACAGAGGTCAACTTTGTTTTTATTTTTAAAAAAAAATCTCTCTCAGCCAACAAGCCAAGCACCAATCCCAGTAACTTTATGGGTTGATAATCAAGCCCAGCCCCCAGATGGGAATGGGCACAGTGTGACTGTGAGGCTCCAGCTTGTGCAGGCAACAAGTTCAACTTCACAGCTGCCTGTTGATACAAAGTCACCTTTGAGGGGAACATGGACAGAGTTTATTAAACACACAAAAAAAAGCTCTGAAGGCAGACTATACAATTCTAGAATGACTCCTCAGAGACAGTGTTCTGGCCATGTATTTACTTTTCAAAAGGCAAGATACACATTTCGGGTGCAGGAGCTGGACTGATTTGGTGTGGTTTCAATCCAAATGAGGGGAAAAAAAAAAAACCTTCACAAAATCTGCAACAAGCTTTTTATTGATTTTAATGAGGCTTGGAAGAAGCCACCAAATCTCAAGAGTTTTGTCAAGAAATTCAAAAACAGGAGAAAAACGTTCCAATATAAGCATTAAAAATTCCGCTTTCTTGCTGCCAGAGCTCAGCAAACCCCCCTGACACGCTCATCAGCATTCCTGCTGCAAGGCTGCTGGGCTCTGATAAGAACCTCCAATGTTATCACTTCCTAAGTCAACAACTTCTGCCAAAATAAGGGGGGAAAGCTGCCTGAAAGGAGAAATGTTGCAATGAGCTCTGCTGGTCTCCAAAACGGCAGTTCCTGATGGGGTTTTTTTCTTGGAAGATTTTATGGAGGAGTAGAGTAGTTGCATTGTATATCAATCATACAGTGAAACACAAGTAATAACACAGCTTGGGGGGGAAATTCCAAATAATGGTTTCCAAATTGTAAAACTTTCATCCCTGGCCATACCCCAGCCCCTGCAATTCCAAGGACTACCCCATCAAAGTCAGCCCTACTCTGAGCAGTGATGGACTACAGCAACTCCAAAATCTAAATCATTTGAGCCTGTGACAGTGTTTTTCTTGACATTTGTTTTAATAAAACATTGGCAAATAGCTAGGAAAAGCACTCTGGAGAAGTTTCAATCAACGTGTTTGTTTAATTAGGTGATTGGAAAGTTGTCTCTACAGTTTCTCTGCTGAAAGGCTCTATCAGCCAAAGCAGGAGAGCCATGATTTGATAAGCATGGAAATGGCACAAGGGAAAAATAACTGGGGAGAAAAACAAAACCAGATTTTCTCTAGCTGCCAGTTATCCTCATAAAGATGTAAACAAACACAACCAAATGAAGCTTTTTTCCTGCTAATTGACTATTTTGAAGATGTATTTTCCCCTCCTTTTGCTGAAATACAGCATTTCCAGAGCAGTTGTGCCACACCATGTCCCAACCTCACATTATGCAAGTGTGGTTTTTGATGAGAAGTTCTGCATTCCTGTTTACATTCTGAACTTCCCAATATCACTGTCCCCACACACCCAAGCTCTGCCATGAGGGGAACCTTCTCTTTGGATTACCACACACCCCCATTTATTTCATCACCTCTGGGTTTGGCTCCTCCTTGCTCACTTTAGCTCACAGGTTGTTCTTCTCCTCCTCCTTCCTTTTTCTGTTCTTCCTGGTGGATTTGAGTTTCCTTTCCCTGCTATTTTTACACAATTCTTAGCGTGCTCAGGAGCAGGAACACAGTGCTGCTATCAGCTGCCCACCAGCTGGGGGATGTGGTCAGCTCGTGGCTGATCTGGAAACCACAGAGGGATGGGAGCTCTGGGAATGCAGCTGCTCCCCAGGCAGGATGGGGCAAGGCTGCTCCTTAATACAGAGTTCTAAACCGTGCTCAGGGAGGAGGAGGAGTGCTGATCCTCAGGGAGGCATTTTCTGGTTTTAGTGCCACGTGTCACAGAACTTTTAAGGTTGAAAAAGACCTCTAAGGCCACTGTGTTCATCACTGCCCCGTGTCCCAAGAGCCACAGTGACAGAGCTGTCAAATCCCTCCAGGGATGGGGACTCCAGCACTGACCTCGGCTGTGCCAGGGCTGGACAATCATTTCCATGAAGGAAATCTTCCCTAATATCCACCCTGAGCCTGTTCCCTCTCCTCCTGTCCCTGTTCCCTGGCAGCAGAGCCCGATCCCCCCCGGCTGTCCCCTCCTGTCAGGGAGTTGTGCAGAGCCACAAGGTCCCCCCTGAGCCTCCTTTTCTCCAGGCTGAGCCACCCCAGTTCTCTCCATCTTGTCCATCATCCAATCTCCTGGATGAAATGACATCATTCCAGCTGGATATGAAGGTGTGCACACAGCAACACTCAAATACCTGGCAGGGAGAGCAGAACAGCTACATGAACATGCCATGTTCCCACAGCACAGATGGAACCATCCTGCATCAGAGCATTTTGAAAAGATCTCATTCTACTTTCTGTTCTCTCTGCTTTAATAAGTGAAGAATAAAATTAATTATAAGAGTCCAAAGCATCAAACAAGTTTTGTCAACATCTGTCACTGCACTGACTCATACACTAATGGCAGGTCAACATTTGGGCTTCCTTCATCTTCCCACTCAGAAATGGCATTAATCTGCTTCTAAAGCAATTTGATTAAGCTGATTATCTTTGCATATTTGTTAAAGATCACTTCTTGCACTCTTCAGAAATTAAACGCAGAAGCAACAGTTCAAAGTTGTAGCAAAAAAAAAAAGCATCTTGAAAGGAAAGCAGAGCTTGGAATGGCAGAGGAAGGCAAGAGAAGCACTTCTGGGGTCTGACAGCAACGGACAGTAGAGAAAAATTTGATTTTGCGTTAAGAAAGGTCCATTGTTTCCATAACTGATGTCAAGAATAAAAATCAATACTTAGCTGGGATAACAGCATTAATTATTCCAAAAAAAGGAGGCTTTTTAGGAAAGTGCTCCTGAATAAAAGACTCTACATCAGTATTTTCCTTCACTGATCTCAAAACAACCCAAGTCAAAAGGCCACAGCAAGCTTGAAACCAAAATCCACAACAAAATGTCACATTTTCTTACAAAATTTCAGGCTCTCTTTTCTTTTAATTCCTTTTTCATTTGGATAAAACCCTGGGATCCGAAGGCTGCAATTATTCATACAGAAGCCAGGATACAATTTACTGATCAGAGATCTTCTGTACCATGTCTGTAATTTTCCTTTTATTTCAATTACTCCATATTCCTCTGTTTTATGTGCATGGCAGAGGAGGAACAACAGGTCCCAAGGACCAACAGCTACAGAGATCAGTCTGAACTCTGGAGAAAGCTGGAAGGAAAGGAACTGAATCTGGATTTTAGTATGGAAGCTGACAGGACAGTCCCAGTGGATTTGTGGAGGTTGTAAGCTGGAAAGGTGACCAGGTGTGCTGGGAAGGGGATTTATGCCAACAGGTAACCAAAGAGCCATGAAACACAGGGCAATATCACACTGGAGTTATGAAACAAACAGCAACGTTAGACCAGGCAGCAGAAACTTCCATTTCAAAAGACATAATGGAGAAAAGGGAATAATTTGCTCCTCACAGTTCCCATTTTTTTCCATTAATGTCCTCACAGCCCATTTGCCATGAGTCACACTCCCTTCCCTCTTTCTGCCTCTCTAGAAGGAAGGCAGCAAACAAGGAGAAGTGGCTGTTAATCAAAGTCTCCAAGATTTTACTCATCCTCCCAAAACACTTCTTCATCCCCCTTCCCTCCTGCAGTCACATCTTGCTGTAGCTCAGACCTTCCTGGAAGTGCCTCAGCAGCAGGAAGGGGCAGCAGCCATTCCCAGAGGAGCATCCCACACTGCCCACGACAGCTCCTCACCTGCTGGGATTTCCTGACAACAACACTTCAGACACTGACAAGGAATAAAAAAGAGAAAGAAATGTTTGAAAATAGGAAGAATCAATAAGCAAATGTGATTTGAAGGTTCCTCTGCAGTTTCAAGATACACTCCCATGAGACTTTTCTCCCACCCTGAACTTGCTCAGGACAACACAGTCACAGCTCTCAGCTGCTCAGTTGACCTCATTTTCACACCTTTTTTGGCATAAAATTTTGAAAATCTCTTTAACAAAACACCCCTGGATGCTTTTATCATAAGATGACTGTTTTTGAAATAGCAAATACCTGTTATTAATAATATATTAATGCTCTAAGAAAGAAATGCCTAAGTTATTACAAGGTGTTCCTAATGGGGACCTTGGTCCCCACAGAGGCCTGGCAGTCATGGAATGGTTTAGGTGGGAAGGGATCTTAAAGCTCATCCAGTCCCATCCCTTGTGTCCCATGGGCAGGGACACCTTCCACTGTCCCAGGCTGCTCCAATTCCTGTCCAGCCTGGCCCTGGACACTGCCAGGGATCCAGGGGCAGCCACAGCTGCTCTGGGCACCCTGTGCCAGGGCCTGCCCACCCTGCCAGGGAACAATTCCTGCCCAATATCCCATCTATCCCTTCCCTCTGGCAGTGGAAGCCATTC